AGAGCTTTGTTTGATTAAATATTATTAATAGTATATATGATAAAATCCATTCTTGTTTCATTTCTTGTACATTTTAATGGTACCAATGTGAATTAGGCATTCTCTTTTTAAATGACCAGGTTTTATTTGAAATGAAAGGACTTTTTCTGACAGTGTTCGGGCAGAACCCGTCAGGACAAATGGAGGAAAATGTACGCTAGATTGTGACGTATGTATTTAGGTTAATCAACTACACTGATCATTGTTATTAGGTGCAGTACGCGGAAAAGGGATTTGAAAATAAACCAAAATTTCGTGGGGGGGGGGGGGTGATTTTATTGATGGACTATTTGGGTTATAAAAAGAATTGTAACTTTTTCTTCACCTTAATCATACATGATAAAATGGTAAATGAAGACAACTTCTCATAAATATACAGTGCTCCCCAAAATAAAATGGTATTCATTGGCGAATTCTCAAAATATACAGTGCTTCCCTAAATAAAATAACAAGCATTGAAAACTTCTTATAAATATACAGTGCTCCCCAAAATAAGATGGTAAGCATAGACGACTGCTCATAAATATACAGAGCTCCTCAAAATAATATGGTAAGTGATGATGACTTTTCATAAATATACAGTGCTTATTAAAAAATAGATTGCATATAAAAGAAAAGTCGTCTTCACATCACCCTTTTATTTACGTTTATTTATCAAAAGCCACCAATCTTTACCATTCAATTTTGGGAAGCACTGTTTATTTAATACAAGTCGTCTTTATTTTCCACTCTATTTTGGAGAGCACTTAATATTTAAGAGAAGTCGTCTATTCCTACTATATTTTTTGGGGGGAGCACTGTATATTTATAAAAAGTCGTCTTCATTTTCCTTATTATTTTGGAGAGCACTGGATATTTTGAAAAGTCGCCAATACTTACCATTTTGTTTTGGGGACCACTGTATATTTATGAGAAGTTGTCTTCATTTACCATTTTATCATGTATGATTAAGGTGAAGAAAAAGTTACAATTCTTTTTATAACCCAAATAGTCCATGAATAAAATTCCCCCCCCCCCCCTCAGCGAAATTTTGGTTTATTTTCAAATCCCTTTTCCACGTACTGCACCTAATAACAATGATCAGTGTAGTTGATTAACCTAAATACATACGTCACAATCTAGCGTACATTTTCCTCCATTTGTCCTGACGGGGTTCAGAATCTATAGACTGACTAAAGTAACATTTCATCCAAAAATCATAGAAAATTTTGCGATGTTCTTTATGAAAAAAAAAATTGAAAACCATGAGCTTCATAGTTCTAACGATCCAGTCTTAAAATTTGATGCAACTTTGCATAGCAGTCTGTAGTTATGTCACTGAATGTGGGTCAAACAATTCCATTAGCATTTATTTTGTTTATTTCTGTAGAGAGCTCCAGATAGAAACATTTAACTTTTCAATTTTACCAAGACTACATATAAGAGAAGAGGTCGAAGAGGGGAAGGGGGGTTTGGGTTGACGATTGCAATGAGAAAAAAATCATCAGATGCATAAAACGAGTTGTAGAAACATTAAGATTAAGAAAATATTGAAAAAATGTCGTAGTGCCAAAGGAGTTGTAATTTGCAATTGTTTCTAGTAATGAATAACTGTTCAGGATAATTTTAAAGAAAACAATTCAGTCGTTTATTAGAAAATCCTGATAAATCTTACATTGAAAAACTACGAAAATTCTATTGTTTTGTGGATGTAGCGTTAGTAACAAAATTATGAGGATACTCTGGACTTTATTTATGTAAGGATTTCTGTGTAAGTGTTTATATCTTATCTTGTGGTATAGAGGGGATTATATTATAAAGTTTATCATTATATCTTACACTTGTTGAGTCCTTGATCCATGATCTATCAACTTAAACAAACAGCTCAACTTGTTCCAGTTCTTTACACCAAAAAGACCGTTCTAATCTTTTGGAAATATTTAAGGTCATTTTGGAGAGAATAGTTAATTAAAGCTGGTTTTTATCTTTTATTAAATGCATCATTTTTCCCATATTTAAAAAAATCTTAAATTTAAGGAAAATTGATTTTACAATGAATTTAAAGTGAGATGAAAACACTGTGGAGTAGTAAGACGACTTTTACACGTGTTTATGGTTTTAAATAGTTCAATAACTTTGAAACAGAGCAAGTATGCTGTTGTACATAAGATTGCTTAAATGTTATTTCCTACTCTAATGAGCATCACTGCATAAATAAAGTGAACCCAACTAATATAAAGTAAAGAAACAGAGTTTTTGCCTCACATTTGAATTCTTTAATCCCAATATTTGTGCAACCTGATGATGTAATCAAGTGAACCTTTGATATTTCTAACTTAGACTATTTTAACTAATAGAAGTCATAGTTTGAATTATAAAAGGTTGAGTTGCAAAGATATGAGGATTAGAAAGTCAGAGAGTTTCTCACCTTTTCTTCATAAAATTATAAAAACAATTAACTTTCACTCTTATCTTAAATACAATATTTGTCTTTAAAAAAATTCAGTTTTTATTATCAAAATTATTGTTGTTTTTAAGGAGAAGATTCTAATCTGCTTCAAACAAAGAATCTCTTCTAAAGAAGAAAAGATCTGATTACCCGGGTTTGGATCCTATATTGACAACTACTAGGGCTGGGAAAGGTTTGGATCCTATATTGACAACTACTAGGGCTGGGAAAGGTTTGGATCCTATATTGACAACTACTAGGGCTGGGAAAGGTTTGGATCCTATATTGACAACTACTAGGGCTGGGAAAGGTTTGGATCCTATATTGACAACTACTAGGGCTGGGAAAGGTTCCGATATCGAAGGAATTTTTTTTTAAATTTTGAAAATTAACCAACGAAAAGAATCTTTAACTTGCAAGTATTGAAAAACAGAACTGCATTGACTTTTTAAAATTTGAAAATTAAAAATGAAGAACATTTTATTAAAAGGAAACGAACGGACTAACCAACACCTTTTCAACGTGTTAAATAATTGCCTGAAAAATAGTGATGGGCAATGGTTTTTTCAAAAAAACTTTAAAACTTTTTTTGGACCTTTTATAAGTACAATAAATCTGTGAAACTCGAACATTTAAAACCTGTATTCTGTAAAAGTAGGCTTTTTTTAAGGTTTGCAATTTTGGAAGAAAAATAAAATTATAGGAAAAACAAAATGAGATTAATTGATTTTAAACTATTGGTTTTTTATTGTTTATTTTGCATTTATTTTCTCTAAGGGTTCAAATTAAAGCATATTGTAAGGAAAGGAATTGTTTAAAACATATCTACTTATCTTTGGTTTTTAAAAATTGAAGGAACTACGTTATTGCCAAAATTTTGACAAGATCTACGACATTAGGTTGAATTAAAAATATAGGGATTGAACAATTAAAGTTTATCAAAAAAACTCACTTTTATTGTAAAACTTCTCTCATGAGTTTGGAACTTTTTGAAGTAAAAAAAACCTAACAAGTTTTTAATAAAATCTACTTGTTTGTCCAGTTCTCTTTAGCGTAGAGTATACCTGTATGATTAATGATAGTTTTTCCTGTAGTTTCAGAAGAACCCTGAGAACTTGAGAATTACAAGTTCCCAAATGAGAAAGTAAATAAATTACAATTTGAGCAGCAAAGCTCGTCTTTTTCATTAAATCTTAATAATTTAGTTAATGCCCGCCTAATTTTAATACAATTATCAATCCTAAATACAAATACACAGGTACAAGAACAAAAATATTTGTTTTGAAACAACCTCCTGACGTTTAAATATCTTTATCTTTGATAACCAAATTTTGGAGACCTTTGATATGTCATAGTTTAGAATCTAATAGATCAAATAATCTAAGTTTGCAATTTAAAAAGTTTAAAAAGATAGGATTTGGAAAAAAATAGTTTATAGCAAATATTCCGTTCCTGTGTAGTGAATTTTGAGCTGTGTTATTGTCATTTATAATTTGTATATATACCACCACAAATAGCATTTATAATTTGTATATATACCACCACAAATAAGTGGAATATTCGGCCACATATCTTCAATATCTTTCTATTTGTTTCCACCTAATGACAAAGCAAATAATCTTCGAAAGCTTTAGTACAATACAGGGTTTCCAACAAAAAGTCTCATTTCAAAGACGACTAAACGGAATATTTATTGTCTGTTCCTTACATTAATGATTCTCTGCAACCATGTAGACTTGTTTCTTTATTTATTGAATCATGAAATAAGATGTTTAAAGACTATATTCTAGTCAGAAGACTTAATTTAACCATGAGAATAATACAATCTTATCCTTTACGGGTACTCCTGTAGTATCTACGTAATATCTACATTCTTTTTAAAAATAAATTTATATAGAGGTGGATAGAGGATGCAGGAGGACGGGAGAGGGTGGGGGGAGAAATGCTATTTTTAACCTTTTAATGTTTAAAAATTGATAGACTAAGCTTGAAACTAGAAGAGAACCAATGTAATAAAATGCTGAGCTCTCTTTTCCCTAGAAACTTTTCTTAAAGAAGAGAGATTAGCTGAGACAGACATTTTCATTTTAAATGTTTACAGTAGAACAGTAGACCAGTAGAATAATAGAATTGTAGAACAGTAGAACAGTAGACCAGTAGAATAATAGAATTGTAGGACAGTAGAACAGTAGACCAGTAGAATAATAGAATTGTAGAACAGTAGAACAGTAGACCAGTAAAATAATAGAATTGTAGGACAGTAGAACAGTAGACCAGTAGAATAATAGAACAGTAGAACAGTAGAACAGTAGAACAGTAGAACAGTAAGAAATTTTGATTTCTTAAGAAGATTTGAATTCCAAAGTTATAGATTTCGCTAGATTAATCTACAAGAAGTTTCGTTTTATTAATTCACTGATTTCAAATTGGTTCTTCTATTATTCATGAACCCTGACAATACTTCCCGCCTCAAATATCAAATTGAAAATCCGGGAAAACTTCACGAAAAAATGGCTGAAAATATTTGAAATGTCGTCATCAATAATCTTTTTCTTTTTATTTTTTATATTTTCAGGTATTTGAACCAAGAAATACTTCTGGAGCCTGCTAGGAAATTAGGTAATGATATTAACACTTTCTTAATTAAAAAACATTTTTTATGCATTAGTTAAAGAGCTGAAATGTTCGTTCGTTACAAAATTGTTGTATGCCAGTTATATTTTAGTGTTTATTTGTTATTCTAATTTTAAGTCTTTTTTTATCCCCCTCCCCCCTGCAGACACTTTTCTTGTACACAAAGCTATGAGGGTTCCAGAGCTGGAAACTTAAAAGAGTATCGTTGAACGAAACTTATGAGTTTCTTCTTAGGGGTTTGTACATTTAAGACTCACTATGAAACAATATCATGTCTTCTGTACCTATTTACCTAATCTTTAAACCCCTTAAATATTTATGTATTTAGTCTTTTTTGTAGTTTTGGTTTTATCTTTTTATTAAAAAAATCAACCTACATTTTTTCATTTTACATCAGTTTTAAAGAACTTTCGTTTTAGATTGAATTGATATTTTTTTGGCAGGTTACAAAATGGAGAAAAGTAGAGACCCAAATAAACTGAAGGTTTCAAAGGAAAAAGGTGTCAACTTTTCTTGAAATCAAATATCCTTCATAAGGTAAGAACAGAAAAGAAATAACAAACAAATTAAATTAGATGATCAAACTATTAACCTTTCTATCTGTCCCCTTATCTCTGTGTACTGCTACATATACTCTTTTTTAAAAGTTTTAAACTTGAAGGTCCATGTCCTAATTTAATGAATTTGAGCCGCGTCTTAAATCCACCAAAAACCGGTTTCAATCTTGAAACATTAAATACAATTTTAAGTAAAACAAACTATATTTGAGCCGCGGCTTAAATTTAAGCCGCCGCTCAAATTCTTTAAATTCGGCCTCAGATACCATGCAAATATAATGTTTAGAAAAAACAAAATGACTATAGATTCTTTATCGATTTTCAAGAAACATAATTTTACCATTTTTTTTAGAAGCAAATTTGCGTTGTTTGATTGTTTGGGTTAAAATTGTTTTTAGTTTCCATTTTTTGGGGATTTTAAATTTTCCCTGAACTCACAATTTTTGATCTTCACAATTGCATTGACCTTAGATATTCCTAACTATGAATGCTGTTGATAAAATTATCTCAATTTGAAATATCAAGGTTTAAACCATCAGATTGCAAAGAAATTCGAAAATTTGAGTTTGTGGCAAACACTCAAGTTATTTGATTTCCTTTATCAAGAATTATATTTGGAAACCTAGAAAAAATTAAAATTGTGAAGACATGCATTATTTTTTTTTTCGACAGAATAATGTTAGTTGGTATACCTTCAATCCAAGGTTCCATAAATAAAATGCATAGAATGCATAGAGGCAAGAATAATAATGCTTACAAATGATACTTCATACACAATACACATAATAAACCTAGACTATATTACCATTCTTGGCCATATATAACCAACTATTTTATTATTATTTTTGTTTTGAATATAACAAATCATTTAAAAATGTTCCTTAAAAAGGGTTCAATGTTAACAGAGGAACAAGTATTTCTTTAAAAGTCAGCAAGAATTATAGATTGTCTTTCAAAAAAAACATCGTTAGAAATATATTGGCAATCTTTCTTCATATGCAAAACAAATACACTATTCCCAGATGATGTTCAATGTCCAATGGAGGACCATATAAATAAACATTAGAATTGAATTTTAACCACTATAACTCCATAATATCAATATATTCTAATACTTAGATTATTTGAAATAAATATTTAAGGTCTATGACATTATGTTGCAAAGATATAGGGAATTATAAAATCAGAGTTTGTGGCAAAGACGCAATTTCTTTACTTAAATTTTTTCATCTTTTTTGGGAGGGGGAAAATCCACCAACGAAGACGATAAAAATCTTGAAATGTTGTCTTTAGTAATGCATAACGATAAAATGTTTGCAGATAAACCGTGCTTCTGTATATTTGAAATCTCTCAGTTTTATTTTGTTATTTACTTATACAGAAAACACATCTTTAGGTCTGAAAGTTTTGCAAAAAAACATTTTCTCTTGCCGCTGGGGGATTTATCTAACTTTTAAATATCATATTTCTGTCCAATTTAAGCCTGCAAGTGTAAAGAAGGAAAATAAATATAATATAAATATAAGAAAATCTTAAATAAATTGGTATAGTAAATTTAGAATATTTAGATATGTATTTAAAAAAATATAATAAGAAAAGTCGGGTTTAATAAGCTCCTTTCTTAATTTGATAGAATTTGTCCAGTCCCTTCCAGTGTTATGCTGAATAAAATTTAATTTAGAGCTTTGTCTTTTTATCAATTTGAGATTGTGTTTTTCATTTTAGATGCAGGAGAAATTCATGATGCTTGGTGGAATCAAACCAAACCAAAACAACTACGCCAGGTAGAAAAAATCAACCCAATGAAAACTGTAAGTCAAATTGAATCCATTTTAAACTTCTTAGTTTGTATTGATTATAATTTGCTCTCCAAAATTTAATGATACAATATATTTTAAAATTTTGCATTTCTTTAGCAGAAGTTTAAGGCCTTGAGTGGTGTTTGGGTTTTATGTATGTTAAGACATATCAATTATGTCAAAATTCATCTTCTGTATAATAAAAGAAAAGCAACTTGTTAAATTTAAAATTCAAAATATGAAATTTCATACTCATATGTTTAAAATTAAATCAAATGGGACTTTTTTTGTATAGTTTTCTTTTCTCTATGACTATACACTTTTATATATATAACTGTAAGTTAATTTCAATGGGAATACTATTTTTTTTAAGGTTTATGTGGGTTTATAAAGACTGCACAAATATCTGGGAAGGTTAAAGGGAATTTAAGCGTAATTTTAAATGGCCCTGAAAGCAAAGATAGCAATATGCCAGATTTACAACGGTACCCTTACAAGCTTAGTCTGATAAAGTGTAAAACAGATATCGATGTTTATAATTTCGAAACCCATTATTTTCAATTGTTGCTTCTCTACCAAAGTGACAATTACACATTTTTACTTTATACTTTAGGGAAACACTAACACAGGAATTACCTTGAAAAGGTTTTAAGGTTACCATTGTGAATCGGAAATTGAATCTTGCGTAGCGTAGCCCCCGAAAGAACTTAGAGCTCTCGCACTTAGCAAATCTAAATCTTAAAAGTGATAGTTTACGGACGTGTAAGGTAATTGGACTGTATGTGATTGTGTACCTTTATAGTATCTAAGAAGCCAATTGTTTTAAATTTAAAGTTCAAATTTGGCCAAAACACATTTTTTTTTGCTCTTCGCGCATAATTGCCCCCCCCCCTCTCCAGATTTAATTCTTAGTACGTCCTTGATTGTTTTTTGTTGTTGCAGAAATGTAGAAACGAGACAAAAATGAAGTGGGGGAGCTAACATTAACACATCAAGTTCCGCCGATTCGGCAAAATTAGCGCAATTGAACATGGGAGAAAATCCACCAAGTGTACAGTGAACACGTGGACACATGTGAAGACGACATAAAAGTAAAGTAGTGAGAATGGGGAAGCGGAAGAAAGGGACGGGGGATCCAGATCGGGATGCACCCAGCAGCTTGTTCATTCTCTCGGCCACAAACCCTATTAGGTAATTGTACAGTTTTTAAACCATCAGATAAAAAAGTTTGTGTTTTTTTTAGAAATTAAAGATTTCTTTAAAATTGTTGGAGCGTCCGAAATAAATTTAATAAGTTATTGACGGATTTGAAACACTTCCCCTTTTTTACTTTAAACGTTAAATCTAAGTTAATATTTTTTATCTTTCTTAAAAAAGTACTTTTTTCTTTTTTTCTGGTTTGTGTTATTTAAATCTGTAATTCATATCGAAAAGCTTGAACTTCATGTTTTTCGATATGATGAGGACATTTTTTTCTGAAATTCTTCATTTATGTTTTTGATTTTTATCAAGATTCCAAAATCATCAATTTTTGCAAATATTTGCGAAAATGTTCAAAAACGTGAATTTATTTTTAGCGCTTCATTTGGCATATTTATATGATTTATTTTCGAAACTAAGGAGCAATAAAGAAAGCTTTAACAATATTGTACACCTTAAGGCCATTAACAGAGGTCAATATGGTCTTATTTCTACGAAAAAACGATTTAATGTTAACATTTCTGATTACAAATGAGGTAATGGAGATTAATTACCAATTGAGGAGCGCGCATGCCAAATTATTTTATATTGAAAACAAATATTTTAATAGTATAGACGAATATTTGACATTTTAGACGAATATTTTGATATTGTAGACGAATATTTTGATATTGAAGACGAATATTTTAATATTGTATACGAATATTTTGCTATTGTAGACGAATATTTTGATATTGTAGACGAATATTTGATATTGTAGACGAATATTTTGATATTGTGGACGAATATTTTAATATGGTATACGAATATTTTGATACTGAAGACGAATATTTTAATATCGTATACGAATATTTTGATATTGTAGACGAATATTTTCACATTGTAGACGAATATTTTGATATTGTAGACGAATAAATTGACATTGCAAACGAATGGTTTATTATTGCAGACGAATATTTTGTTATTGTAGACAAATATTTAATGATATTGTAGACGAAAATTGAGATATTGTAGACGAATATATTTTCAATGTAGACGAATATATTTTCAATGTAGACGAATATTTTGATATTGTAGACGAACATTTTATTTTTGTAGACGAATATTTTGATATTGCAGACGAATTTTTTTTTATATTGAAGACAAATATTTTAATATTGTAAACAAATATTTTGATATTGTTGACGAATTTTTTATTATTGTAGACGAGTAATTTGTTATTGAAGACGAAAATCTTAATATTTTAGACGAATATTTTGATATTGTAGAAGAATATTTTTATATTGTAGACGAATATTTTGATAGTGTAGATGAATACTTTGACATTGTAGACGACTGTTTTATTATTGCAGACGAATATTTTGATATTGTAGACGAATATTTGGATAAAGTAGACACACAATTTGATATTGTAGACGAATATTTCGATATTGAAGTCGAATATTTTAATATTGTAGACGAATATTTCTATATTTTTGACGATTTTTTTAATATTGTAGACAAATATTTCAATATTTTAGACACATATTTTGATATTTTAGACGAATATTTCTATATTTTAGACGAATGTTTTATTAATGTAGACGAATATTTTAATATTTTAGACGAATGTTTATCTGGTTTGTGAGCTGGAGAGGATTTGAATATTTGATTATCATGACGATTATTGCCAACTGTGTCGTCATGTCTATGGACACCCATCTTCCTAACGGGGACAAAACCATCCTGGCTCTTCAGGTAACTGCCTGTACATCTTTGACTATTATATATATATATGTCGTTAGATTGGTTTTGAGGGTACGTTGAGTGGATCAATTTTAATAGCAAATATTTCGTTTCCCGTTAAAATCAACCAAGTGCGGGTAAACGTTGGGACTATTTAGTTATGAGTACCCTGGGCAATGCTGCAAGTTCTCAAGATAGTTTGTTTGGGATTTAAAGGGATGCAATATTTAGAGGAAAAGGGTGCAGTAAAGGAAGAGGGTGCAATATTTAAAGGGATAGGGTGCAAATTTTAAAGTACCAGGGTGCACAAAAGGGAGGGTGCAATATTTAAAGAGATATGGTGCAATATAGAGATAGCGTGCAAAAAAGATGCCATATTTAAAAGAGCAAGATGCTGGATTTAAAGGGATATGGTGCATTATGTTTTTAAATGGATAGATTGGAATGCTTATAGGGATAGAAAGCAATTTAAAGGGATGGAATCATGGAATGCAATATTTAACCCATTAGTGACGAGACCATTAACTATTAGTGAAGTTGTTTTAGAAGGATCTTGTCAAAACAAAACTTGATTGTACTCATGAAAAAATGATATTCAATTAAATGTTTGATTTTTTTGTACAGTGTGACCTGTAAGACATGAAAATCTAAAAAACTTTGGTAATTCATAATTATTTAATTATCTTCAAAACTTTACTTTTCATGTTTTAGTTATTTATATCTTTAAAAGAAGATTCTAAAAATATTTTTAAATTTTTTTTAGCTTAATAAATGACAATCTTATAGATTCAAAACTAAATTACAGGGTGTTCTTTTTTTTCCGAATTCAAAATCTTGTGTTTTGGGGTTTTTTGAAATTTAAAATTTAAAAAAAAACCCAATTTTGAAGTTACGTCAAATATAAAATATGTTTTGAAAACAGGAAATCCTAAGGAAAGCGCAGGAAAAGACAAGACAACATTTAGTTTAAGAAAAAAGGCACTTAAAAAAAACCTCACCCGGTCAACATTGACCTTCTCGTCACTAATGGGAGGCATAGGATGGAATATTTAAAGGCAATGACTAGAGATTTCAAGGGATTTGGTACTGATCTTAAAAGGGAATTAAAAATAAATGTGATGTCGGATTCAAAGGAATGAAAGAAATGGTAATTGTATGGTACCAACAAATGGTTTAGAATCATATTTGGATTCAAATTGACGTCATTATCACTAATAATTCACATTAAATATCAGGATAAATTTCAATAATTGAATGAATGAACGCATGTATTGATATTTATATTATTTAGCGTGACGAAATTGAAAATACTACATATATTAAAAATAGGATGAATAGTGAAAATAGGACGAATATTAGAAATAGGATCACTACTGAAGTAAGATGAATATTGAAGATATTGCAATGACTATTGAAAATAGGATGAATGTTGAAAATAGGATAAATATTGAAAATAGAATGAATATTGTAAATAGGATAAATATTGAAAATAGAATGAATATTGAAAATAGGATGAATGTTGAAAATAGTATGAATGTTAAAAAATAGAATGAATATTGAAAATTGAATGAATATTGAAAATAGAATGAATATTGAAAATTGAATGAATATTGAAAATAGAATGAATATGAAAATAGGATGAATATTAAAATAGTGTGGAAGACGATGCCTGGCCGCGTTAAACAAGTTCCACAAGATTCAACAGAATGAGATAGAACGGATACGGGGCATAGTACTGATAGATCATCTACACGTGTGATATCGATATTGACTCTAGTTCTGAACCCTCAAGTAATAAGTTATAAGAAATATATATACTGGAAGTTATTTATGCGTTTTTATTAGAGTCTGACTCACGTCCTCTATAATAGGATGAATATTGAAAATAGGATAAATATTAAAAATAGGATAAATATTAAAAATAGGATAAATATTAAAAATAGGATAAGAATTAAAAATAGGATAAATACTAAAAATATTATAAATCAAAAATAAATAAATATAAAAATATTTCTATTTTTGCAGCTGGAGGAGTTAGAACCCGTATTTATGGGAATTTTTACAGTAGAGATGTGCACTAAAATAATAGCAATGGGCTTCGTTCTTCATCCAGATTCATACCTTAGGTAACAAATAAAACTACTTTTCAGGAAAACATTAAATGTTAGTACCGATTGACTTTTTAACCTTTTTTAGGAACCCTTGGAATATTATGGATTTTGTAGTAGTTGTGTCTGGGTAAGTAGAATTTTTTTCATCCTTCAACTTGCTTCATAATATTACTCCTCATTTCTAACAGTAACCAGAGAAGTTATAGCTAGGGTGGGTATATAGAATTTAATACGCATTCTTCCACACACAATATTCGCGTATAGAATGTAAAAGTTAATTAACTAAAGGATCAAGAATTTTTGGATGAATTTTACTGCATGGAGTTTGAGCATTTTTACCTAAACTTCTTTGAAAAGATATGAATGGCAATCATATTGTATGATTATGTGACAAAAAAATCTAATCATACTCCTCTTTTTTGAAAAGTACAAAAATATGTTCAATTCTTGCGAATAAATTTTCTTTCTTGTGCGTGAAATTTAAACTAAAGGAGCTACGATGTCACAAAGTTGTAGCTGTAATGTTGCATAACCTTAACATTCTCCTTCCGTGTACTGCAGTGGGGCTTTGTCATATGAAAATGTAGTGGACAAATGTTTGAAATATGAATTATAATTGTCATTTGTGATTAGCAAAAGTATTGCAAAATTTTAAACGTATTTTTGTAAAAATTCTTTTGAAAATAATAAAAATCAAGTATATGCAATATGCCTCTTAACATATTCAAATATACAAAATATGTACAAAAATACATCTGATTAAATTTTTGTATCTTTTTCTTTGGCGTAAAAATATGTTGAATATTCTTGTTAACTTTAGTATTCCATGGTATTTAAACAAAGATTTTACAATAAAAAATTTTACACCTAAAATAACTAAAAGAACTTTTTACCTGAGGTGTTTTTATATGAATTAAAGAACTAAAAACCCTAATTCAGATTTATTTTGCTCCCCTTTGTTTTCCTATAATTCAATACCTACTGGGTAAACAAACTAAAAGCAAATAAGTTAATTTGTAGCTTCTAATTCAAACTTTCTTTATAGTTTAGCTATTTATTTTTCCATCTCTTCATTATTCATTTTTCATTTTCATTTTTCATTTTTCATTTTTCATTTTTCATTTTTCATTTTTCATTTTTCATTTTTACTCCTTTTTCACCCAAATTCTACATTTTATGGTTATTTTCCTTAACATTCATTGAACATGAATTTCTTTTTTCGCAAAAATATCAGCTTATCAAATGCCAAATGATCAAAAATCTTTAAATGATCAAAAAAATGTGCGCTGAACAGTTTTTTCTCAAAAATATCATACAATTTTATTATAAAGTTAGCTTTAAAGTTTAAAGTATTCTAAAAAATATGTTTATGATAAAACGTCTCTTCTTTCTCTTCTCTTCTATTTTCTACTCTTCTCTTCTGTTTTCTTCTCTTATATTTTCTTCTCCTTTCTTTTTTTTTTTTTTTTTTCTCTTCTTTCTTCTTCTTTTTTTTCTTCTCTTCTTTTTCTCTTCTTTTTTCTCTTCTTTTTCTTCTTTCTTTCTCTTCTTTTGTCTTATCTTTTCTCTTCTCTTCTCTACTCTTCTGTTCTCTTGTCTCTTTTCTTCTCTCCCCTTATCTCTTATCGTCTCCTCTTTTTTAATCTTTGTTGTTGACATTTAACCGGTTTTTAGATGAACAATGAAGTACAATCCGTTGTTATAATGAACAATAAAGTACGATCGTTGATATAATTTTTCTCTGATTGGTTTACATTTCTAGCTTGTAGACCAGAGATAAGAAAGTAGTCTGTGTTGTAGACCTAATTGAAAATTACTGCGTTTGTACTCCATAATAAGGCATTTGATCATTCATTTGGCATTTAATATTCTGATATTAGTACCCTTTTCTCCTTCTTATTTTTTTTGTCATAATTTTTTACTTCTCATTTTCTCTTCTGTCATTTTTAAGATTTTTTGTCGTTTTCTTTTCAGCTTCTATGCAATATCTTACAATTTTCTATCACTTCCTCTCGTTTCCCTGTATGTTATTTTTTGTTCGCTCTTTAATGTTAAGACATATTTAAAAATGTTTTCCCTTTTTTCCACTTTAAATTTCTCCTTGTTCAGTTTTCAGGTTGTATTTTCCTCCCCTCCTCCCAGGGGAATACTTGGACTAGAAAACAAAATAATAATTCAGACATTAAACTGTCTTTGAAAATACATTTTCCACTGTTTGTATGTCAACCCTTGGAATACTCAGGGTTGGACAGGGTGTCCCATAAACATGGGATCAGAGTTGGACAGGGTGTCCCAATAAACATGGGATCAGAGTTGGACAGGGTGTCCCAATAAACATGGGATCAGAGTTGGACAGGGTGTCCCAATAAACATAATTTCAGAGTTGGACAGGGTGTCCCAATAAACATAATTTCAGAGTTGGACAGGGTGTCCCAATAAACATGGGATCAGAGTTGGACAGGGTGTCCCAATAAACATGGGATCAGAGTTGAACAGGGTGTCCCAGTAAACATTTGATCACAGTTGGATAGCGTGTCTCAATAAATACGGGAATTAGATAAGACTTTAGATCTGGACAATTTTTTTAATTTTTCCGACAGCTTGAAATTTGTATATGAACTTATTCAACAAGGATGCCAAAATTACTTTTGGTAACCTAATAATGCTGCATGACTCAAAGGCAATTTAAAATTCGTCACTGAATTCTCGTTTTTATTGGGTCAGTTATTTAACGACTACGTTTTTTTAAATTTGTATAGATTCTCTTTGATTTTTAATTTTCTTAATTTTTTCAATAAAAATGTGTTTTTTTCCGAAAATAGAATAAAACTAATTAATTCTTTTAAAAATATAACTCTTTCAATTCATCATAGTTGATTAACTTTGAATAAAATTAAGTTTTTAAATATAACTCAATTTCTTTGCAGAAATTTTTAATTATTTTTTCAAACTTTTAGAGAATGTAATTTCAATTTCAAAAAGGCTCTCCAGTTTTACACAATACGATCAAAAATATTCAATGTTTCCTTAAATCTTTTTAGGGGCATTATAGATAGATTAGTTGTAAATAAGACTGGGTTATGCTTAAAGGGTTACCATGCGTAAACCCATGAATCTTGATTCAAAGGTTCCGCTATTTAAAGTTTATTCTGGCTTCAAATTTTATATTTGAAGCCACTATTTTAATAATATTACATCGTCTTTTTTGTAGATTTCTGCCAATGCTGATGCCCAAATCTGGAGATGGGAAGACGACTGGTCCTGACCTCTCCACTCTTAGGACTTTCAGAGTTCTTAGACCTCTTAAACTCGTTTCCGGAGTACCAAGTAAGTTTCGTTTTACGGAATTCTAAAAAAGATTAAATTGTTTAATGGCGTTCAAATAATGATGAACACAATGTTTGGTGTATAGGTTCAAATGTAAGATTAAATTCAGGGGTATGTAAATTCTTCAAAAATCCCCCCTCTTAAAATTCCAATAAATATAATAGGGATTTTTTGTGTAAACTTTGTATCAAAAAGGTTAAGATTTACTTGCTAGTTTTTCATTTTTTCCCTAGAAAACTTAAAAACACTCAAGAAATCCTGGAGTGTAAAATATCGAATATGAAATTTAATATTAAAAACACTCAAATTTTAAATAAAAAACAAAAACAACAAAACCAGTTTAATGTTGCCTCTATTTTCAATCTATTGACCTTGTTGGAACTTTTATTGTAAACTTTTATACAGTTGTAAACCAGATTGGTAGAACTGTGCGGATATAATTGGAATGACAGAGTTTCCCATAAGGGAAAATTCTTTATTTCCCTTTTTGAGTTTCAGAGAATTGAAAAACTATTTTAATTCTCTTACTTTTTTTAACCATTTGGATTGCTCATGAATTTTTTTGATTTTGCCTAAGCATTTAAGTGTTTGGAATTGAAGAAAATAAAGAATATGAACCTTATTTTATATTGTGAAAACAGGTTACGCTGAACAATTTCCTAAAAAAATATAACTTAAAAATCCCTCCATTAAATAAAAATTTAGTATTTTTGTAACGGCTTAAAATATGTGATGTATAGATTGTTAGAGGCTATTAACAAACTTTTCAGTCAAATTAACATATTTACAAGTTTTTCTTTTTTAAAGTGCATGGGATACTAAAAATGGGTTTTGTGTCCAAAGCTAGGAAAAGAAATTGAGATATAAGTTTTCTGTTACAACAATTTCATGGAGGAATTGAAAAGTGATCTACCCGTTACAAAACAAAAAAAGCTTCAAACATTTCATTTTTTAAATTTATATAAATAATCAATAAAAAATTTGGATCAGAATTTTCAAAGCTCTTAAAACAGTGTTGTGGCAAAAATTCTAAGTTCTCATTCATTAAAACCAAAATCAAAAAAATTTTATGCCAAAAAAACTGATTACTTGCCACAAATTCAAGTTTTATCATTTTTATCTTTTGCACAGCTTATGCTAAAGGTATTTTAAACTATGAATTCTGATATATAAATATAACAAATAAAATTTAAAATATTGCATATTTGTACCATAAAGTTGAAATCAAGTAGGGATTATAAATTTAGAGCTTGTGGCTTAAGTGTGTAGTTAATTCCTTAACAAAAAAATATAAGAAAAAATTTTTTTTTCAGAACTTTGTAAAATTCCAAATTGCTTGTGTTTCAGTTCTTTGAATTATTGTTTCGGATAAATATTCAATTTATTTTCAAATACAACATTTTATTTGTTTGAGAAAACATTGATAAAAGAAAAATAAATTGAAATTTTTCGTTTGATATCAATTGAAAGGGCTTATTTCAAATGACGATGAATATTCCTAAAATTAACTATTTTTGCATAAATTCATTGGATTACACTTTTATCTTACCTAACTGCATAATTATAGTGGAATTTAATTGCAATATTTCTATCTTTCTATCTTTATCAGTTAAAGATAATAATTCACTTTCCAATTTACTTTTTTTAATATAATATAAACTTATTTTAATTTAATTGTTGTTTTCTTGAAAAAAATTTCATCTTGATCAAATAGATTATCAAGTTCTTTATAGTGATAATCTGCTAGACACAGGCATTAAATAATCAGAGTTTGTGGCAAAACCTCGATTTTGTTTTAACTTTACACCCCCCCCCCCCCCATCTCCCAACTCCATCCAGCTTTGGCAGTATTAAATATTTGTAGTAGCTAAGCTAAGTAGTGATTGCTTGAACAAATTGATAAAAAAAACTCTATTCTCGCTCTTCATTCTTTTCTTTAATTTCTGTAACCATAAATTTTATCCTTGCATTTCTAGATTAATTCTGATTAAGAGAAGAAAATATGGAAATGTGTTAACTCATTTAATCCCATTTTGTCTTTTTTGAATTCTTGAATTCTTGCTAATTTTTCTAATTTCAGGTTTGCAAGTTGTCATGTCAGCAATAGCTAAAGCTATTGGACCACTGGTGAATATTGCACTCCTCCTTCTTTTTGCAATTATAATTTTTGCAATCATCGGATTAGAGTTTTATGCCGGGGCCTTGAACAAAACTTGTTACGATATTCAGGAATGTAAACAACAACAAACCAAATTTTAACAACATCAAACAAAATGTGAACAACAACAACAAACAAAATGTAAACACAGCAAACACATGTGAACAACAACAAACTAAATTTAAACAACAACAAACAAAATGTGAATTACAACAAACAAAAACAAATAAGATGTTAATAACAAAAAAAAACAAAATGTTAACGACAAACAAATGTAAACAAATATAAACAACAACATACAAAATTTAAACAACAACAAACAAAATGTGAACAAAAACAAACAAAAATAAACAAATATATAAACAACAACAAACAAAATTAAAACAACAACAAACAAAATGTAAACAACAACAAAAAATGTAAACAAAAACAAAAAATGTAAACAGCAACATACTAAATTTAAACAACAACAAACTAATGTAAGCAACAGCAAATAAATGTAAACAACAACAAAATGTTAACAAAGACAAACAAATCTAAACAAATATAAAGTAGACAACAACAAACATAAAGTAAACAACAACAACAAAAAATGTAAACAAAAGCAAATAAAATGGAAACACAAACAAATGTTAACAACAAAAAATGTAAACAACAACTAGTAAAATGTAATCGTCAACAAACTAAATGTAAGTAAAAACAAACTAAAAGTAATCAACAACAAGCAAAATGTAAACAACAATAAACAAAAGGAAACAGCAACAGCAAAAAAAGTGTGAACAACAAAAAACAAAAGTGAACAATAGCAACTAAAACTTAAACAAACAAACAAATTGTAAACAACATAACTGAATTTGAATAGCAACAAATTTTACAAGTATGATGTAAACCACAAAAAAAATAAAATAATAATAAGATGAATAAATGAGTAGATATAAGATGAATAAATAAATAAATTAGATAAATAAATGAATAGATAGGATAAATAAATGAATAGAATAGGATGTAAAATATGCATAGATAAGAAAAATAAAATTAATAGGTAGGATAAATAAATAAATAGGATGGATTAATGAAAAGTTCTAAAGTCTATGAATGCAAACAAACTTACATTTTCGGTAAACTAATACAAGTTTAAATTCAAGGCCGAAACTTAACTTTGCTAGACAATCAACCAAGTTATTTATAACTATTATATTATTTTTTGCTACATTTAAGAATAAGATTACGTAAAAGAATATCTATTCTATTTTAGCATTAGCATTACAGTAGTCAGGTTAGCTAAAAATATACTGTCAGCAGCTACACGGTTTTTGATTGTGGATTTTGGAGGATTTTGAAGATTTTAAAAAAGTAAAAAAAAAAAACTATTTTAAAGAGTATGAAAAAATTGTAAATATTTGAAGAGACTAAAAAATTTAAACGACAAAAAAAATTGTGAGGTTGGGTTTAAAAAATTGTTTAGCACTAAGTTGAAAGTGTGGCGACTTCTGGCGACTTGTTAATACAGAAACTGAGAAATTTGAAAAATATTGCAGCACGTCAAGCAGGCGGTAATTGAAAGTGCGGCGACTTGTGGCAACTTGAAAGTGGGGGGACTTCGGCAGCTCGATAATACAGAAACTGAGAAGTTTGAAATATATCAGCGAGGCAAGCAAGGCAAAATAATCAAAGTACGGCAACTTCTGGAAACTCGTTAATACAGAAATGGAGGAGTTACTTTAGAGTATAGAGAAATAAGGGCATACATTTCTGAAAGTATAAATTTAATAAAGGCTTCGGTGGGTCCAATAAACTTCAGTGCTGCAATCTGTTTCACTGAGAGAATGAAGAGTAACTGAGCTATTCAGCTGTCGTTAAGGCAATGGTAAAATTTGAATGTTCTAAAACGATGCCAGTTCATTTTCGGGAATATAGGAGCAGGCATTACAGTGCACTATATAGCAGCTTATGTACATATAGAATAGACACATTTATGTACATATAGAATAGATATATTTTTTAAGGATAAGAATTACGCAAAAAGTACTTTAATTTCACCATTACCTCTACAGTAGTCAGGTTAGATAAAAATATACTGATCATTTGTTACAGAGGTATTAGTACAGAATCATATGTACATAACTATGTTTACAGAACCATATGTACAGAACTATACGTACAGAACTTTATGCACATGCCTATGTACAGACTATGTACAATGTTGTTGTACAGAACCTAGATGTGATATTAACGGAGGTATCGGAGGGAATGCCGTGTACGGAGGGACCGGAGGAGACTGCCCCCCTAGGCAGCTATACATGCAGGTCAACATCAATGGGATTGTTTACTTATTTTAAAACTAGGCTATCAGGGCGCATTGCGCCCATTTTCTATTTCAACTTTAGATTGTTGATCAATCTTTTAGCATTTTTCTTTGATAAAACAATATACTGCAATTTTTTGAAGATTTACAATTTTTTGGTGGATTTTAAAAGCTTTGCGAAAATATAAATATTTTTGAGAATCATATTATACCAATTTTTACATTACAGGGGGGAAGTTAGTTCCAAAACTAACACTTGGCCCATTTCTTACACTGAGTGTTAGAAATGGGCTAAATCTGCAAAGTTTTATTTTTCAAGCGTATATATCTTTAAATCCATTCCAACAAAACTACACCGTACATATATAAGAAATGGCAAAAACTATTTATTGAAACAAGAAATGTCAACTTTAAAATAATAATAAGGTGTGAGAATTAGATTTGATGATTCTTGTTTTCATTTTCGAACATTTCCCTATTTTGAAACAATTACCGCATTTCAGCTCATATTGCGTTTTTTTTTACATATTCTGGTGTTGAGCCAATTACTCGAATTCATATCAGTGTCATTTTTTAAGCATTCATGCACTTATGTAACAAAACAAGATTATTTGATAAGGTAAAATTTAATTTGTAAGTTATGAAAATGAGTTTTTTTGTTATGAAAAGCGGATTATACTCAAAAATGGGAAAGTGGGTCTCGAAAACGCAACAATGATTCAAATTCAGGATATGTTTGAAAATGGAAAACCTGGCATTGTCTTGAAAACGGTCAAGGGTTTCAATACAAAGCACTCCTTTTATAATTTTGATTTAAGAAAATAGTATAAGATTGTTGTCCTTGTGATTGTTTTATTCTTATCGACTTTTACTCTTTTACTCTCAATATGGGCCGGGATCCTAAAACCCAAGTCTTTCAATTTCAATTTCAAGTGTTAGTTTTGGAATTAATGTCCCCTGCATTAGCAACAGATTCAAATGATATGAATAAGGGTTATGTGTATTTTTAAGTAGGTGAATGGTTTTAAACAGTGAGTCAATAGAGAAAGGAAATCTTTTTCTTTGAACTCAGTATTTACTGAACATAAAAAATCTAAAAATAGATTAATGAAAATGCATAAATTAAATGCCATACTAGATTAAATGGATAGTGTGACAGTTGAACAATATCTAATGTGCACCGATTCAAGTTGAATAGTTCAATTCTATGTCTAACCGATTCAGCTACTTAAAACAATTCATCAAAACTTACCTCTGAAGTCTCAAACTAAATTATTTAAAGAAAACGATTCTTTTTGTCTGCAGAAGTGGGTTGGACCGAATAATTTGACTTCTGAAGTTTCAAATTAACTTATTCAGAGAGAATAAGTCTATTTGTCTGCAAAAGTGGGTTGGACCTAATAGTTTGACTTTAGAAGTCTGAAATTAAGTATTTTAGAGAGAATGAGTCTATATGTCTGTAAAAGTGGGTTGGACCTAATAATTTGACTTCTGAAGTCTGAAATTAAGTAATTTAGAGAGAATGAGTCTATTTGTCTGCAAAAGTGGGTTGGACCTAATAATGGAATAACTTCATTTGATAATATTGGTCTAGCCATGCTTACAGTCTTCCAGGTAACATTTTGTTTAAAAAGGAACATTCGCTAAAATGATGATTATGATAAATAAAACTATATTTTGTCTGTTTAACCAATGTAATCTTAAAGATTCATGAGGAGTTAAATCAGTCATTTGAACTGGTGGTAGGTATTGTTGCGATCTCCACAATTTTTTTAATTTGGTCCCAATTGAAAACATTATTTTGTTCAATTTCCAAAATTGATTATAGACTAATAACTTTAAATTTATTGTATAAATGTATGACCTGAACACCATAAAAAAGTTAAATATATTATTTTTCATTTTCTCAAACACTCCCTAAGTTGTGAAATTATGTATGATTAATGTATTAATTTACCAAGATAAAAAGGACATAAATATAGGAAAGAATGAATAATGTTTATCAATTACTGAAAATTGACAACAAAAAGAATAGAAAAAGAACTTATTTTTCTATTTAGTGTGTTACGATGGAAGGGTGGACGCCTATCCTATATTGGGTAAGAAAAATATATATTTATGAAAACAAAACATTTTTTTATAAAGATCTATTTTAGACCAATGACGCGATGGGCAGTGTGTTTAACTGGGTGTTTTTTCTACCTCTGATAGTAGTTGGAAGCTTTTTTATGCTCAATCTGGTTCTCGGCGTTCTAAGCGGGTAAACTTTTTTTATTTATTATATGTTTCAAACAATTTATCTCTTTTTAATTGGACATGCGGCATGCATGATTATGGAAATAATATTTAAAGTTCCTTTACAACAAACATATTTTATATTTCCCATTCCCATTCAGTTGAAATAAGTCTTAAGTTTGTTTAAATTAACGTTAGATGGGGTTTCTTACACTGAACCCTATAAAACTGTGGAATAGGAAAATTATGTTTTATTAGTTTAATGGAATCAAGAATGTAATGCAAGGAAAGTTAATTGCGGTCGTGTATACTCTGCGTACACATTGAAACCAGTTCTCTTTGGGCGGAATTTGTAAACAAGAATTGATGCATTAGTGTTCGTTTAGTATCCGAGGAGGTTAAAAGCATTAAATTTTGATAATTTTGATAATTCACATAATAGATTCCTATGACCCGAATATTTCATTGATTTTTTATGTGAAAGATAGATCTCATGTCAGGCTTTGACATCCGTTCTGTGTTTACATTACCGCCCAGAGAGTTCAAAAGATGTGTACACTTCTGAAATAACTTTCCTTGCATTACATCCTTGAATGAAACATGGTAATTTAGCAGTGTCATCATATACCAATTTTACTTTATTTTAGTTGATTTTTCATTTTCATGATAATAGCTAAATCTATTTAAACATAAGATGGCTTTAATGTTGTCTACCAGTCCAGAGTTTATTGGGTTCCACTTTAGTTAATATCGACATAAATTACAAGATCAATTAAAGTTTAAAAAATACCAACTTACATCCTGTGAACAATTTCAAGTGACATTCATTTATAAAGTGACATTTCTGAGTCACAGCGGTACCCTTTTAACTTTAATTTAAACAGCAAAGAAGAAGATATTGTCAATTTTTAACTGGAAAAGTGGTGAATTCAGAAAACTTTCAATTCTTTCACTGAAAAGCATAAATCCGCACGTCAAATTATAAATTTGTTTAAATTATATGAAAATGATAATATTGAAATAATTACATTAATATCCTAATTGCTAACCTATCAAAAATACAAACCATTTTTCTAATCTATCAATTTTCCTGTAATCACCGGAATGGGGCACATGATGATACAACAAATATACGTACTTTTAGTGCCATGCACGTGCATCGGTTTAAACTGTTTACTCTGAGCTGAAAACTTTAGAATGAGATATCCTTAATCCCGATTACTTAATCTGAGTATCCAATGGACACGCTTTTGATTTTCTTCTTAAACCGTTCTTTCTTGGATATAGAAGAGAAAAATCAAAAACCGGTTTTTCTAAATTAGAGAGTTCCTCCCATATCTGTATTTCATCTTATATGGCAAGCAAAATTTCAAATTTATCGGCTTCCTATACGCGACTCTGATTGGTTGAATTTATACACTTTTCAGGATACATGCAGTACAAGATTAGATTAGTCTCGATATTGTGAAAAGAGAGGATATCAAGCATTAATCTCGATATACACCATTATGAAGTTTTCAGCTCAGAATATACAAAGAAATTCGTTTTCAGCTTATTTCTAAATCTAATAACTTTCAACTGGCCGTATGGTGTGAACAGTTTTGTTATATTGTATTGCTTGATCAGGACGAATGTATAGTTTGAAATATGAATGGTTGCAACGATAGAAAAAGGATCATAAAAATTCTAGGTTGATTTCTATTGAACTTTTTTCTATGTTTCTGGTTATATAAATGTTAATATGATATTCTTGTTGATAAGCTGGAATAGATAAGTTATAAAAACATGTTTGCGGTGGTGGGGTGGCTCGACTATACCCTAGCTTGCATGTTTGGTGTGTATAAATAATTAATGCTATAAATTATACCCTTTTACATGTAATTGGTCGATTTTCCCCTTTATACTTTCTTTTTTATATTCATCTTCATTAAAGGGATTGTAGACCCTCGGCCTCAATGTAAATTTGGCAAGTCCATTTTACAATGGCATGTCACCCTTTGTAGGACTAAAATTATTGAGTTTTTGATGTTTTCAAATTTGAAAAAAGAGGTTTGAAAAGCTGGTAATTTAATTACCATTTAATTAGGTATTTTACAGCAAGTTTTTTCATTTGAATGATTTATAATCTAAAAATCATTTGTATGATGTTTCGTTAAACACCACCTAAAGTCTTCGTCGCTGAAGAAGAAAAATGAATTGAACAAATGTTTCAAGATTTAAAAAACATAAATTGTTTCATTTTTCAGAGAGTTTGCGAAGGAGAAAGAAAGAGTAGAGAGTAGGGCCGGGTTTATGGCACTAAAGGAACAACAGAAATTAGAGAAGGAGCTTACAGGTGCACACACAGATGGTGTTGATGTTGATGTTGTTGATGTTTATGTTGATGTTGATTTTGATGTTGATGTTGATGTTGATGTTGATGTTGATGTTGATGTTGATGTTGATGTTGATGACCCCTCGGTCTAACAGAATATAAAGATTTATGATTCCCGGTGTTAATGTTTCTTATAAAGACCTTAAATCCGAGTCAAAGGGGTCAAATCTTGATTTATATGTCCTGTCGGCAACTTAAAAACATTTATGAAAAAGTTTCCAAAACTTCACAAAACTTTAATTTTGTAAACATCTCGGAATACTTAAGACCAAAAATTTGACGAACAAAATTTTGAATCCAGAAAGGTTTAGTGTTTAATAATTGTGTGTAGTTGTACTTCATAATATTTACAATTTCGCTTTTATCAGGCAGAGGCATACCTTTACAGGGACTGTTAACGTAAATTCAAATTACCGTTCATTTCAAGCATGGCTTGTCCTATTAGCTTCTTGCTAAAATAGTGTAGAATTTTGTTAATTTCCTTCATTGCTTTTAAAGTATTCATGTGCAAAACACTTTCTAGAAAACCTCAAATAAAAATAATCTGTTCTAGATGGAACAACAATGATAACTCCGTTATTTTTGCTTAGGTTTAAATAGTTCCACTGTAAATGGAATATTTCAATCTAAAACTAGAATGTAACTTTAAATCCCATCTCTTCAGTCCTTTCAAGAACAAATGTCGGCGTTATTTTGAGAAATCTAATATTTTCGTATTTTAAATCTTTTACTGAATTATGCTTAGGGTATGTTGAATGGATCTGCAGGGCGGAGGATCTAGTTCTAGCTGAAGATAGAACCACTGAAGCGGACAGAGAGCTTATCATGGAGGGTAATCCTAACTTTATTATCCTTGGTCAAGTTTCGATTTCTTACTTAATTATCCTTGGTCAGGTTGAAATTCCTTACTTTAATAATATTGGACAACTTTTCATTTCTTACTTTAAAAATCTTGGACAACTTTTCATTCCTTACTTTAATAATCTTGGACAACTTTTCATTCCTTACTTTAAAAATCTTGGACAACTTTTCATTCCTTACTTTAAAAATCTTGGACAACTTTTCATTTCTTACTTTAAAAATCTTGGACAACTTTTCATTCCTTACTTTAATAATCTTGGACAACTTTTCATTCCTTACTTTAAAAATCTTGGACAACTTTTCATTTCTTACTTTAAAAATCTTGGACAACTTTTCATTCCTTACTTTAATAATCTTGGACAACTTTGCATTCCTTCCTTTAATAATCTTGGACAACTTTGCATTCCTTCCTTTAATAATCTTGGACAACTTTTCATTCCTTACTTTATTAATCTTGGACAACTTTGCATTTCTTCCTTTAATAATCTTGGACAACTTTTCATTTCTTACTTTATTAATCTTGGACAACTTTGCATTCCTTCCTTTATTAATCTTGGACAACTTTTTATCCCTTATCCTTATTTTATAATCCTTGGTTAAGTTGTAATCCCTTTCTTAATTATTGGACAAGTTTTATTTAATTACTTTATTTTTATTTGTCAAGATTTAATTCCTTACTTTTTTTTCCTTGATAAACTTTTATTTTCTTCCTTTATTGCCCTTGGCTGGTTTTAATTCCTTACTTTACTATTCTTGGATATATCCTAATTCCATACTTTATTATTCTTGGCAAGTTTTGATTCCTACTATTATTATTCTTCTTGGACAAGTTCCAAGTCATATTCAACCTTTCTGTTATAACTTTCACATTAATTTTTATTCTAATATTAAGTTTTAGAACCGGAATTTATCTAAATAAATTGTATTTTTCTAATTTAAACATCTGTCACTTTAATGTTTAAAAAATAGACACCAGAAAATCTGTTAGAAATAGAAAGAAAATGGCAAATTTTTCCTTTTCATCAAAAAAGATATGTTCCATGTCATTATTTGGTTAGAAAGTAAAAAATACTAACTTGTACAGTGTCACTGAAATTGTTGGGTCAATCAAAATTACGTCAACAATTCCTTTAAAAGCGCCGTTATTAAATATTGACCTTATTTTGTTGAGTATTATATAAATGTGTGCATATATTATACATTATATAATAAATGCATGTTCTTGGCAAGAGAAAGATAAACCGTGGGAAAAGAACAGATGTGACGGATATATACTTCTTAAAGTTATCCTTAACCTTAACATTTCCTGCATACCTTTCCTTTATGTTTCCTGCATACCTTTCCTTTATATTTCCTGCATACCTTTCCTTTATATTTCCTGCATACCTTTCCTTTAAATTTCATGCCTACCTTTCCTTTATATTTAATGCATACGTTTCCTTGCATACGTTTCCTTTATATTTCCTGCATACCTTTCCTTTATATTTCCTGCATACCTTTCCTTTATATTTCCTGCATACCTTTCCTTTATATTTCCTGCATACCTTTCCTTTACATTTCCTGCATTCCTTTCCTTTATATTTCATGCATATGTTTCCTTTATATTTCCTGCATTCCTTTCCTTTATATTTTCTGCATAACTTTCCTTTATATTTTCTGCATACCTTTCCTTTATATTTCCTGCATACCTTTCCTTTAAATTTCATGCCTACCTTTCCTTTAGATTTCCTGCATGCGTATCTATATTTTCTGCATACCTTTCCTTTATATTTCATGCATACTTTTCTTTTATTTTTCCTGCATACCTTTCCTTTATATTTTCTGCATACCTTTCCTGTATATTTCATGCATACCATTCCTTTATATTTTCTGCATACCTTTCCTGTATACTTCATGCATACCTTTCCTTTATATTTCCAGCATACCTTTCCTTTATATTTCCTGCATACCTTTCCTATATAATTCCTGCATACCTTTCCTTTATATTTCCTGCATACCTTTCCTTTATAATTCCTGCATACCTTTCCATTATATTTCCTGCATACCTTTCTTTTTTAATTCCTGCATACCTTTCCTTTATATTTCCTGCATAACTTTCCTTTACATTTCATGAATACCTTTCCTTTATATTTACTGCATACCTTTCCTTTATATTTTCTGCATACCTTTTCTTTATATTTCTTGCATACTTCCTTTAAAATGCCTGCATACATTTCCTGTATATTTCATGCATACCTTTCCTTTATATTTTCAGCATACATTTCCTGTATATTTCATGCATACCTTTCCTTTATATTTTCAGCATACCTTTCCTTTATATTTCCTGCATAATTTCCTTTATATTTCCTGCATACCTTTCCTTTATATTTCCTGCATACCTTTCCTTTATATTTCCTGCATACCTTTCCTTTATATTTCCTGCATACCTTTCCTTTACATTTCATGCCTACCTTTCCTTTATATTTCATGCATACATTTCCTTTATATTTTATGCTTACCTTTCCTTTATATTTCATGCCTACCTTTCCTTTATATTTCATGCATACGTTTCCTTTCTATTTCCTGCATACCTTTCCTTTGTTTTTACTGCATACCTTTCCTTTGCATACATTTCCTTTATATTTTCTGCATACCTTCCTTTATATTTCCTGCATACCTTTCCTTTATATTTTCTGCATACCTTTCCTTTATATTTCCAGCATACCTTTCCTTTATATTTCCTGCATACATTTCCTTTATATTTCCTGCATACCTTTCCTTTATATTTCATGCCTACCTTTCCTTTATATTTCATGCATACATTTCCTTTATATTTTATTTTCCTTTATATTTCATGCCTACCTTTCCTTTACATTTCATGCATACGTTTCCTTTATATTTCCTGCATACCTTTCCTTTATATTTCCAGCATACATTTCCTTTATATTTCCTGCATACTTCCTTTATATTTCCAGCATACCTTTCCTGTATATTTCATGCATACCTTACTTTTATACATCAAATCGAAATCTAAAAATGAAATAGATATATATTGTTAATGTCTAGCTCGGAAGAAACAAACAGAGAAACTACGGAAACTGTCGAAATTAAATAAATCTGATTCTGTTGAAACTACCTCGGTTGATGACGATGGTAAGTTCGTTTTCATTTATTTATCGATTTTTGGGAGTTAAAACTCGAGTTAAAACTCGATTAAAACTCGATTATTTATATCTTTTGTTTGGTTGGTAAAACTTTCTTCTCTTCGGTTTTTTCAATAAATGTAACAATAAAATTTTAGAAATGCATTGGTTGCACAAAATACTGTTTATCAGAATTTGCACAGATTTTTGATTTCCGAGAAATGTTAACAAACTTGTACACTGTTAGACGAAATTTGACTTCAATCTGATCTACAGTAGAATATTGTATTTATATTGTAGAATATTGTATTGTATTTATGAGTTTATTATATTTGGTGTATTCTGAGTACAAAATATGAGTTTATTATATTTGGTGTATTCTGAGTACAAAATATGAGTGTATTATATTTGGTGTATTCTGAGTACAAAATATGATTTTATTATATTTGGTGTATTCTGAGTACAAAATATGAGTTTATTATATTTGGTGTATTCTGAGTACAAAATATGAGTTTATTATATTTGGTGTATTCTGAGTACAAAATATGAGTTTATTATATTTTGTGTATTCTGAGTACAAAATATGAGTTTATTATATTTTGTGTATTCTGAGTACAAAATATGATTTTATTATATATGGTGTATTCTGAGTACAACATAAAAGTTTATTATATTTGGTGTATCCTGAGTACAAAATATGAGTTTGTTATGTTTGGTGTATTCTGAGAACAAAATATGAGTTTATTTTACAAAAGTAAAAAATTCTCTTAGGGCATGGGCCTCACCCGCCTTGGATAAAATCATGAATAACCTTATATAAATTCGTAAAAAATGTATGAAGATCAGAGTAATAGAAAATGCTAAACTTCATTATTATTTTGATACAAGTTGTAAAAAAACTGTCCTTCCCTGAAAATTTACTAATAACTTCAAAATACACATTTTTACAATATGAATTCCTTAAAATGTACTATTTGCTAGATAATTATGTCACACAGATTAAATTTGTAAAACTAAGCCAAAGTGGCGAGGATTATCCAGAATTTCGAATGATCTATGAAGTCAAGAAGACCTGGATATTATTTTAGTCGAACTTTTTCAATTATCCGCTTTGGAACTACAGAGTCCAGAAAACTAATATTCCAACTTGGTTTTCTCAACTCTGAATACTTTCTTCAACTTTAATATTTTCTAAACTCATTTTAATAGAATATCGTGTAATCAGAGATAAAACTACTTTCAGATAGAATGATATAAGAGGCAGAAATTGAAATGGTTTTCAAGAACAGCAAGAATAGCTTTTTTTAAAGATACCTATTATCTAATACAAAAGTGCAAATATGGGAAATCAAAACATATTAAACCGCGAAATGATGCCAAAAGAAAATGAACAGTGAAGAAAGACGTCTCTCCTAATGATTTCAATTAAAATTTTTTTCTCATCATAGTGCTTCAGAACCTTTAAAAATACATTGTTAACATTCAAATTTGTCTGGAATTTGAATAAAATATCATATTTACCAATCTTTGTATTTATTAGGTAGTGATAATCCCGCCAACAAGGAACTCTGGAAAAAGGAGAAACAATTGAGGTTCTTCATCAGACGGTGTTGCAAGGTAAACGTTGATCAATTGATCAGTGAGATCAATAATTAATTGATCATATGTTTCGTTATGACGTGATCGGCTTTAAGCTCGTCATAATAAAAAATCTATTTCGTAATAAATTGAGCATTTAAAGGGACTATAAGCATAATTTCAAATGACCTTCAATTTAAAGGGAGACATCCCGGATTCACATCGGTACCATTTAATCCTTTGACTACTCATCTAGGAAAGAGATCTCAGTCTAAATATATATCTCTTTAAGACCTTGTAAAAAGCCGTAAAATTGGGGTGGATTCTAGTGTACTGTTTGAACGTCAGATTTATTCGAATGTGAATCGGTAAAGACCCTCCTTAAATGAAAGGTTGTTTGAAATTACGCTTATAGTCCTCTTAATCTATAACATACAGGGTGTCCCAAAAACATTGGAATTCAGTGACGACTTTATATCCTCTTCGGTCCATGCGGCATTTTTCATGAACACAATTATTGCAGTATTCCAGATTAAACATCTAATATCGAAAACGTCTGGTCTTCATGCATGAAATATCAGAAATAAAAGACGACTTCGGTCGTTTCTTAACTCACATGTTAATTGGGACACCCTGTATATGAAGTTGATCCCTATTCTTTGCAATTCCCCCCCCCTTTCTAGCTTGAAAGGTAATAATCCCTATATTTCTATAAACATTTCATTCTTTGATCCAAAAATATCCAATAATTCTACAGAACGTTAAGCCCTTGTTGCAAAACTTTTTACACTTTTTGCAACTGCAAATTTGTCCGGATTCCTAATTTTTTTATTTTTCTAATTTTTGCGGGATCTTGTGAGTAAAGCAACTATGTAGAATTAATTTTAAGTGTCATCCCCATTTAAAAAAAGAAATTCACAACGATACCCTTTAAACCTGTCGGAAAAAAAGAGTTGATAAAATCTTAGATTTTCTCTGTAAGGCATTTTAAAGCTTGTCAAATAAAATTTAAACAATTAGAGACGAAACGTTTGCGTCAAGAGTTTGTCAGTTATTTCCCCCTGCTCAAAGGATTAAGGATTAGCTGGATTAAAAGTTTGCAATTTCTTTAAGAAATTTCCATTTCCAAATTAAACTGTCCTGGAAATATAAAGTCTGAAATATTAAATTATTATCCGGGATCTCTCTCTCTCTCTCGTCTCTATTTGCATATTTTATTCTAGAAACAGAGAGTTTCAAAAAATATTAAAATTAACCTTTTCTACACTTTTTTATTGACTGCATAAGTGAATGCATCTATTATTGCTCATTCTCCAACTCTGAATTTTCATTTTTCATTTAACATTTTTTATCAAATTTAAGAAGTTTCATTTTTTATCCAAGGCGCAAAAAAAAAAATTTTAACCCAAGAAACCCGGATTTTCTTTTGTTTTTTGCTTTTGCACTTTTTCCAAGATATTTAAAAATAAATTGAATATTAGTCCAAACATCTAAATATTCTTTCAACTTCTAAATAATACATATACTTTGTCTGTCCGTTATCTTGCTGTGTGCATAAAACGTCAAAACGGCTGAACCGATCGGGTCCAATTTGTTGTGGGAAGGTTTGTAGATAATCAAAACTACAAAAATTTGTGTCCACAAGTTTTCATTTTTATAAAATTTGAAAATGTGCGAAAAATTATTGCTATATAGGCAAACTATTTTTGTGATTGTTTTATATTGTACAACGAGATAATGCTTACAAATAGAACCACAATTAAAGGTTGAAATAGAAGAAAGGCGATATAGCGCCCTAATTGCCTAGTTTTATAAAAATGAGGTTCTGCCATATTCTTGTTCTAGTTTAGTCTAACCATATTGTAATATCTTTTCGAACGATTTGAAGTTTTTTTTTGTTGCTTTAACATATTTAAGTTGAGTAGGTTGATTTTAGCAAGAAAAGCTTTTAGTTTCCAGGCAAAGCTGGGTTCCCAAGCGAGTTTGATATAAATTAGATCATCAAAAAATAATCACTTTTCCAGTTTAAAAACTTGACTTTAAGTCTATGTATAGAAGCAAATTCAATCCCTCAAAAATTTAAAAGTTGCCACATTGGAAATAGAGATTAAGCGTTGTAGTCTTGTAGTACAGATTTTTTTCTTAAAGTTAGGTTTGACCTTTGAATATTAAAAAATACTTACTAAGATTGTTTTGTTTAGACCCCAGCCTGGTTCTGGTTCGTCATTGTTCTGGTTTTCTTGAACACTTGTACAGTAGCAGTTGAACACTACAATCAACCTGTCTGGTTAACGGAATTCTTATGTAAGTAACAGAAGTCTTATGCAAGTAACACAATTCTCATGAAAGTAACAGAATTCTTATGTAAGTAACAGAATTATCATTTAAGAAACATAATTCTTATGTAAATAACAGAATTCTTAAATAAGTAACAGAATTATTATACAAGTAAAAGAATTATTATGTCAGTTCTTATTCAAATTTCAGAATTCATATGTAATCATAGATCTTTTTTGTAAGTAATATAATTATAATGTTTAAGTAACATAATTCATATGTGAGTAACAGGTGTACATTACAATAGAATCCTCATGTATGTTTTATATATCAAAGAAGGTGTCGTAAGAAACTGGTTACAAATATTTTTTAGGCTTTAGTCCCTTACATTGCCAACATTTGTGTTGATCTGTTCAGAGAATTGGATTACAATTTTACAATTTTACAGACGGGTTGGCTTGAATAGTTTTCTTGTCATTTAAGTTGGTTTGGTTTTTGATCTTCGGTTTAGTTGTCACTGGCTTGTTTGGGGTTTTCTTCGTAGTTTGGTTTAGTTATTTTAATTGGTTTGGTTTTACATTTGGTTTTATTCTCACAGATTGGTTTGGGTTTTTCTTCGTGGGTTCGGTTTTCTTCGTAGTTTGGTTTTGTTGTTTGAATTGACTTGGTTTTACATTTGGTTTGATTCTCACAGATTGGTTCGGGTTTTTCTTAGTTGGTTGGTTTTCGTAATTTGGTTTAGTCATCTTAATGGATTCGTCTTTCATCGCTCAGTTTGGTTTTCATATATTTTAAAAGTTAGGTCAGTTTTTATTTACAATTTTGTAAGTTTTTTTGGTAATTAAGTTTCTTGGTGTTTTACCTGTGTTTCAGGTCTGTTAGGTTTTTATATTTGACTCATATTCCTATGAGATTTTCGGATCTGAGTTTTGTTTTTACAAATATTGAAAAAAACCTCGATTATAGATCTTTATTTCTGTTTCCTCTTGTTTACTGTTGTTCAGTCCTGGATTCTAATCCAATAGGAATCAGATATATTATCATTCATCATAAAATAAAGATGGCAAGTTTTAGATTTAATATTAACATACATGATACAGTAATAACCAGAAAACTCTGGAATAAGAACAAAGTAATAGTGCAATGAATCAGCTACGGATAGTTAAACTACTCCTCTAATGAATGCACCAAATAATTAATTAGTTTAACTAGCCAACCAAGTTCAACTACTTCTTGTTATTTATTAAACCCGATCTCTTCTATTTGGAATAATTAAATCTTCTGTTAAAAGGTTCAATTAAGTTATTTAATGTTTTTTTCTAGTCTATGCTGAGTTGGTTTTCCTGGGTTTGTTTGTGTTTGAGATGGGTATCCGTATGTACGCATTAGGACTAGCTGCGTACTTTTCTTCAGCCTTTAACAGGTATACAGCTGTTTACTTAAAGAGACTGTACACGCAATTTCAAGAACCTTCCATGCAAAGATGGTAATATGGCCGATTTATTCTGGTGCCTTTTAAAGATTTTTTTTCTGATCAAGAATATAATTATTCATCCATGTTTATCACTTTTAAACTGATTTTTTCAATTGTTGCAGCTTTATAAAATCTAGAAATTATAAAAAATTAAACACTTTTAAAACTTGTAAAACGGCAATGATCAGATCAGGGATTTAAAGGTACCGTTGTAAATCAGGAGTCTTTGCATAAGGAGACACTTTTATTCACGCGTACAATCCCTTTAAAGGGATTGTTCACCAATATGAAAATAAAAATGATATCCCTATGTTCACCGCTGAACATGAATATTTAAATATGTAAACAATTCCTTAAAAAATTTTTGATTTCAGATTAAAAATTTTTTTTTCAGATTTGACTGCATAGTGATAATAGGATCAATTTTTGAGGTAGAATCATTTCTTTACTATCTATTTATATAACTATCTATCTATCTATATATCTTTTTATCTATAATTCTATCTATCTATCTATTTAACTCTATTTCTATCTACCTATTTATCTAGCTACTATCTATTCTCTATCTTCATACATTATATCTATCTATATATAAATATATATATATAACTAGCAAGTGTCTATTTAAATTTCAATCCAACCTTTATTTTCTATTTTTCTATTTATCCATTCATTTATCTAACCATAGGTTCTGTGGGTTAACTTCCGACACAGAGCTGGCTCGTTTGGACTCTCAGCTCTCAGAGCTCTTAGACTTCTTAGAGTCTTTAAAGTAACAAAGTAAGTTAATGTCATTTAATTAATCGACCTTTTCAACTCTTGCAACTGATCAAGAATGCCGCGCATCATTAATATTTTTATGAAATTCGTGAGTTTTATTGGATTTTATTACATTCTTTGATCGAAGTAAAATTAGTAGCGATCAAGGAATTGAGTTTTTGCTACAAAATATAATCTTTTAATCCCTATGTTTTTTTCAACCCGATGTCGTAGACCTTTGTTCTTTCAAACTATAAATCATTATCATCATCTAATCATCTAAGTTTGAAAGATCAAAGTTTGCAAAAATATATAGGATCAAGAAAATCGAAGTTTTTGGCAAAATCTCTATTTCTTTTATCATGATTTAGTTTATAGTTTATTCATTTTTCGCGAACACTTCCTTAAAACTGTAAACAAAACTATGAGCGAGTTTAGTGTATCTCAGATCCTAGTAATCGATAAATTTTTGATTTTTTTTAAACATAATGATACGTTGGTGGACGTGTTGCTAAAACTTTTTAAAAATTATTCAAAGACTAATTGCGTTCCTCCGCATTCCCCTTTTCAAGGGCATTTCAATGTTTGTGAATTCAATATAACAAATATTTATAGTAAATGTGTAAAAAAGTTTTTGCATTTAACAACAGTTCTAAATATTTTACAAGAGTTTCCTGGTTTTCCGATACAATATATGTAATGATTCAATCAGAATTGTCTTTTTACCAACATAACTGACGTTAAGTTACTTTACCTCCATTAGGGCAATTTATTGAAATAACGACCCGCTCTGTGAAGTTTAAAAAGACAATAAAATTACTTTTTCGGGCAATTAAAAATTTTACTGAACCATAGGCCGACCAATTTTTTGCCTGAAAAACATCCTTTGCTCCGTTCTGGATCCCTTCCGTGTAAAGTAGTTGTAAATAATTGTAAAATCTTTTTTTTCTCTCTGATAAATGAATGTTTTAATTTTGAAAAAAAAAAATCTATATTCAACATAAAAATCAACAAATTCGACTCAACTCGCTCTTTTAAATGCCTAGCCTAGCGTGGAAAAAGTTCTTGTATTAAATCTTTTTATTGTAAAAGTTTTCCTCTGAAAAGTGTCGAATAATGAATTTTGAACACTTATATTTCAACAGAGGGAAGACCTCGTAACTAGTTTTAAAACAGAATGTAAGAAATAAACTGATTGGGTTGCAGCTGATAAACTGGTTGGGTTGCAGCTGATAAACTGGTTGGGTTGCAGCTGTTAAAGATTTTAAATCTTTTTTTTAGAAAAACAGTTGCCACGGATGACGGATATATTATTGAAGCCAATTTTAATATTTTTTCATAATTTTAATAATTTCTTTAATTCTTAAAATTAGCATTATTGTCATCATTTTCAAAAGTTTGATAATGTTCCTAATTTTCATAATTTTAATAATTTTCAAAATTTTCATAATTTTCATATTTTTCACATTTTCATAATTTTCATAATTTTCATAATTTTCATAATTTTCATAATTTTCATGATTTTCATAATGTGTGATTTCAGATACTGGTCCAGTTTACGTAATCTAGTTGTTGCTTTGATGAACGCAATTTCATCCATTCTCTCCCTCCTCCTCCTTCTCTTCCTCTTCATATTCATATTCGCGCTGCTCGGCATGCAAGTAAGTTTTTGCAAAAATAAAACCAGGGGAGTATATTTTTTAAAATGATTGATGATCCGTTGAAAAAAAAAATTAAATTGGACATTTAAAGGCAAGTTTTTAAATTCTTTTTCATACTTTTTAACCCCCCCCCCCCCATATCTCAAAAAAAGCATAGCTTATTGGGGAAAAAATTCGCCTCAAAAGGGGGGCGGGGAAGTAATTTTGCTTTCGAAAAAAAATGCAGAAGGAGAAAGTTCGAAACCAGACACCTAGTTACAAATATTATAACCGATTAAAAATGAAAACAAAAAATTGTAAAATAATCATAAAAGATAATTTTAAGGATGGCATTTATATATTTAATCTAAAAAAATACTTATGTTTGATATTCTTTTTTCAAACATTAACAAAATGATAAGCAATTTTTTGAGTAAAAAGAAAAAGAACATAATTTGCATATTTCAAAAATGCATATACATTTTACATTACATTACATTTGCACACTATTTTATCTTTACAAATGAAAATGTTAGGTTAAGAACTAACTTATAAATATAATTAATATAAATTAAGAGTATCTATATTTTATATATTAAATTAAATAATTCACTATTCTTTTATTATTTGTTTATTTCTAAGAACACGAACGTTAATGTGTTTTTTATTAAATTTGAAGACATACGAGATCACATTTTAATCTACTTAAAGGGACTGTAGGTGTGATTTCAAGTGACCCTTCATTTATTAGAGTTGGGTGGGTCCGATTTACAACAACGCTATAAACCTTGGACTATTAATGATGGTAAACATATTCCTATTCATCTACAAAACAACTTGGAATTGTTGAACACTTTGTTTGCAAGATGTTTTATATTTGAGAACTAATTATATTTACTTTCAAGATGTCGTAGTAAATAGATATCCGGAAACTGGGTCGGACTGTCGGACATATAATATTGAGGAATTCTCAAGGAATATATGGGAGCTGTGTTGAGTTCACAGTGTACACCAGCGTGCACTTAAATTTTCTGACAATTTGAACACCAGTTTAGAGCTAACACACGAAGTTTTCGGCACTTGATGATAAGTTTAAGGATACCCTTGTAAATCCGGCATTTCTGTCTGTGCAGTGTGCATATAGGTTCACTTGAAATTACGCTTACAGTCCCTTTAAAAATATAAATTTTTAAGATGTTTTTCCCCATGTCAGAAAATCCATTGTGGAATATGTAAGAAAATTCACAAAATTGTTTATTCAAAAGGAAACTTTGTTATTGACTAAAGCAAAGCTATAAATTATTTACTGAAACTGTCTTACAATAAAAATAAAGAAAGAAAGTTGAATGTAGACTTTTTGCCATTTTGTGAGGGGAGTGGGTCGGGGGGGGGGGGGGGAATAAATAAATAAATGTTATTTACATTTATTGTAATTTCTAAAATCCGTGATTTGTTGCAGAATAAAATTTCTTTTCAAAGATGATTTATCGCTCCGTGCAAACTTGACAGCGAGGACTTATTCTTCAATTTCGATATTTATCAATTTTAAATCTATTTCAGATCCGTTTTGAAATATGAAATGAATTTTTCGTTTCCAAATTCCATTCTTATATATTGTTTTCTGACACAAATAATTGCACGTCAAATTAAAATATATTGAACGTAGGATTGAAATTACGTATATCTTTACAATCATGAATCCTATTATTGAACAGCTGTTGAGAAGAACAAAACATTTGGAATTTCTAATCTTTAATATCAGGAAAATATACTTTTTCTTATATTTGTACGTGAAATCATACCATAGGAGGTACAAGGTTGCCAAGTTGTACCAATTAGGTTGAATAAATTACCCTCTCTCCTTCGGTCTTGTTTAATGTGATGGTTATTTTCCATCTTGTAATTAATCTCTATATTGTAATTAATCTCTATCTTGTATTTAATCTCTATCTTGTAATTAATCTCAATCTTGTAATTATTCTTAATCTCTATCTTGTAATTAATCTCTGTCTTGTAATTAATCTCAATCTTGTAATTTTTCTCTATCTTGGAATAAAGCTCCATCTTGTAATTAATATCTATCCTGAAATTAATCTCCATCTTGTAATTTAATTGTTTCTGCATTATCTAATTTCTTGTGTAATTTAACCTCTTTTCTGTTACAACCCCCCCCCCCCTACCCTGAAGTTAAATGAAAATACCCTTAAGTATCCCTAAGGGTATATTTAACTGGATTCTACACCCTTCTCAAATATAATTTTAGAATTCCGCACATTCTACCACCAAACTCTTTATTTCACCTTTTCTTGGTAAGAATAAAAACTATCAAGGGTTAAGTTTAGCCAAAAAAATATCAAATACAGGGTTACCCTTAAGGTTCATCTTGGAAACGTTGCCTGATGAAACACTACACTCATAAAACGATATACACTTCAACGCTTCACACTCAAATCACTACACTCAGACAAAACTCTACACTCATAAAATACTATCCTTTAACAGACACTTCCCTAATGCAGAAATGCTTTCAAAAGATAGGCTATCATGATAAAAACAACTATAAAAACACCCTAAAAAATAAATAAATATATTTCATTGCAGTAATATATTTTAATTATTATTGTAGAGATTTTTCACACATAGAAATAACCATATATTAATGGTGTAATTTTTGTAATGTTTTTAAAAAATATATATATATTGAAGATGGTAACGCTTGTGGCACAACTTGGCACAAAGGCTTAGACGACCGATTTTGTTCATTTTTTATTTTTACAACATATGTATTGCTTTTCTATCAACTTATCTTTTACTTTTCAATAATCTTTATTGAGGTTAAGATATTTTATTTGATACAAAAAAAACCAAATAAACCCTCAGAATGGGAATTGCGACAATAAAAAAAGTTCCAACTAACATTTTTTTTATGGTGCGGCATAGCTTAAATTGCATCACTGTACATCATACATGCCACTCCATAAATATAGGGTTTCTACGGCTACAGTTATCATATATATAGATACTCCCCTAGTTTTCAGAGGTTTCTGCTAGAAATGTTTAATTAAACATTTGCTCTGGCAACGCAATCCTAAACTTTGGAATAATTAATTTTATAAAATTTAAATTCTTGAAAAACATGACGTCAGCCCGGAGTTAAATAATAGTTCTAATCAATGCTAGCTTATATATAGTTATAAAAAGTCAGGAAAAGTTTTATTTTATTTGACTCAATTTTACAGCCTTGATACCTTCCTTTCAGTCATAACTTTTCAGCATAATAACTTTTTTCTCCGAATTTTCATAATTTTTTTAAATTCTAAAGATTTTTAAAATAGTTTTTATTGTAAAAACACTTCAAATCTTAAAAGCAAGAACATCATGTTAAACCAGTAAAAAACTGTCTTACTTTTGCGAATATCGAAAATCAAATCAGAAAACATACGATCAGAACTTTAATACTTTTTTATTCTAAAAAAATCTAGTAGTTATCTTACAATTTAAAATATTTCTTAATTGATATTATTATCAAATCATTGTTTCGTACCTTTAGTTATAAAATTAAAATTTCTCTGCTCTTTCCAATTTAGCAAATTCTTGAAGATTTATGTTAATTTTCCACTCACTTCGAATTATTGGATAAACGGCTTAGGAAAGGAGTTGAGCGTGCATCATGTCAACCTATTGGGTTTATATAGATTACATTTAATTTGGATTATTCATTTTATTAACCTCGGAATTTAATTTCTAGTGGTACCCTTAAAGCTTTGTCTGATCAAGTATGAAATAGAAATGTTTGTTTAAATTTTAGAAATTGTTTATTTTCAATTAAGGGTTCTCTACTTAAATTGATGTGCGCATTAATACTGCAAGAAAAAGTACAGGAATTATCAGAATAAACATTGTTAAGTCTGTTTAACATTATTGATCAGATCTAGGGTTTACTCAACCCTTTTAATAATAATTAATTATAATTGCATTTAATTAGAAGACCAATTTATAAGTTACCAAGCCACAGATATAAATTTGCGCTTTTATTCTTAGATCTTAAGTGTTCTGCACATATAGATTGTATTTTACACATAATTTGTACCGGCCCGGCCATATTCCAGTATTATACATGGATTATTTTCTCTTAATGATTGACTTTATTTCCGGGCCTGCGAATTTTATTTATAATTTATTTTTCACTGGTGCATTTATATTCTATCTTGTTCTATGACTGAGCTTAATATTTATATAGTTTGAAGTGAAAGTGAATTCAGAATGTATAAAAAAGCTTGTATATCATGTCGAGACACAGTATACGTGTTTTTAAAAATATTGTTTAAATATTTAAGCAGAGGCACCAGTGTACAATTTCAGTAGAAACAGAAATTATTACTCTAAACTTAAAGCTAGAAATAAGTGGCTATGCCGTAGAATAAATGTAACGTCAAGCTATGGTAAAACACCTGGTCACACCTTTAAGTCTATCTGAAGTTTAAATATTTTTTTTTCATAATAAAACCTGATGACGGGCGCGGCATAATGGACTTTTACAATTGAGAGGGTCCTGTGACATTCTCTATCAAATTCCAATATCTGAGTATGATGGAAAGCTACCAATGTCAATGTTTTAATTTTTACAATATTGGTTTTCCCCAGGAGCAGTGGCAATAGGCATTTCCCCAGCAGCAGTTCTATATATTCCACAGCAGTTTTTCTATATATTCTTCAGCAATAGTCCTAGATATTCCCCAGCAGCAGTTCTATATATTCCCAATGCAGCGGTATTCCTATATATTCCCCAGCAGTAATCGTGCTATATTTTCCCCCGCAGCAGTTCTATATATTCCCCAATAGTAGTCCTATATATATTTTTTTCTATATATTCCTCAGCGATTGACCTAGATATTCCCCAGCAGTAGTTCTAGATATTCCCCAACGGTGGTCCTATTAATTCCCCAGCATTAGTGCTAGATATTCCCTAGCAGTAGTCCTAGATATTCCCCAGCAGTAGTCCTATATATTTCCCAGTAGTAGTCCTATATATTCCCCAGTAGTAGTCCTATATATTTCCCAGTAGTAGTCCTATGTATTCCCCAGTAGTAGTTCTATATGTTCCCCAGCAGTAGTTTAAGATTTCCTTCAGGAGTAGACCTAGATATTCCCCCGGCAGTAGTTCTAGATATTCCCCAGCAGTAGTTCTAGATATTCCCCAGCATTAGTTCTAGATATATTCCCCCAGCAGTAGACCTAGATATTCCCCCAGCAATAGTTCTAGATATTCCCCAGCAGTAGTTCTAGATATTCCCCAGCAGTAGTTCCAGATATTCCCCAGCAGTAGTCCTAGATATTTCCCAGCAGTAGTTCTAGATATTCCCCAAGCAGTAGTCCTAGATATTCCCCAGTGGCCAGCAGTAGACCGAGATATGCCCTAGCAGATGTCCTAGATATTCCCAAGAAGTAGCTCTAAATATTCCCCAGCAGTAGTTCTAGATATTCCCCAGTGGCCAGTAGTAGTTCTAGATATTCCCCCAGCAGTAGTTCTAGATATTCCCCAGCAGAAGTCCTAGATATTCCCCCAGCAGTAGTTCTAGATATTCCCCCAGCAGTAGTTCTATATATTCCCCAGCAGTAGTCCTAGATATTCCCCAAGCAGTAGACCAAGATATTCCCCAGTGGCCAGTATAGTAGTTCTAGATATTCCCCCAGCAGTAGTTCTAGATATTCCCCAGCAGTAGTCCTAGATATTCCCCCAGCAGTAGTTCCAGATATTCCCCCAGCAGTAGTTCTAGATATTCCCCAGCAGTAGTTCTATATATTCCCCAGCAGTAGTCCTAGATATTCCCCCAGCAGTAGACCAAGATATTCCCCAGTGGCCAGTATAGTAGTTCTAGATATTCCCCCAGCATTAGTTCTAGATATTCCCCAGCAGTAGTTCTAGATATTCCCCCAGCAGTAGTCCTAGATATTCCCCCAGCAGTAGTCCTAGATATTCCCCCAGCAGTAGTTCTAGATATTCCCCAGCAGTAGTTCTAGATATTCCCCCAGCAGTAGTTCTAGATATTCCCCAGCAGTAGTTCTAGATATTCCCCCAGCAGTAGTCCTAGATATTCCCTCAGAAGTAGACCTAGATATTCCCCAGCAGTAGTTCTAGATATTCCCCCAGCAGTATAGTAGTTCTAGATATTTTCCCAGCAGTAGACCAAGATATTCGCCAGCAGTAGTCCTAGATATTCCCCCAGTAGTAGTTCTAGATATTCCCCAGCAGTAGTTCTAGATTTTTCCCAGCAGTAGTTCTAGATATTCCTCCAGCAGTAGTTCTAGATATTCCCCAGCAGTAGTTCTAGATATATTCCCCCAGCAGTAGACGTAGATATTCCCCCAGTAGTAGTCCTAGATATTCTCCCAGCAGTAGACCTAGATGTTCCCCAGCAGTAGTCCTAGATATTCCCCAGCAGTATTCCTAGATATTCCCCAGCAGTAGTCCTAGATATTCCCCAGCAGTAGTCATAGATATTTCCCAGCAGTAGTCCTAGATATTCGCCAGCAGTAGTCCTAGGTAGTAGTCCTAGATATTCGCCAGCAGTAGTCCTAGATAGTAGTCCTAGATATTCGCCAGCAGTAGTCCTAGATAGTAGTCCTAGATATTCGCCAGCAGTAGTGCTAGATAGTAGTCCTAGATATTCGCCAGCAGTAGTCCTAGATAGTAATCCTAGATATTTTCAGCAACTTTATATATTTTCTATTTGGTAGAGTATGATGTAACATTATGTTAATAATAAAAACTTCTTCTTTATTATATTTTCCTTACTATATGTATGAATACATTCATCCTTATATATATACAAATATATTTATCTATCTATCTAACTATCTATATATCTATCTATCTATCTATCTTTCTATTTATCTATCTAATATTATCAGATAATCAATTGTAGGGGGAAATAATTAACGGAAGTGGTTTATGAATAATGTCTGATTGGCTATTAATATGATCAAACTCTGGGAACAAAAATTGTTAAAATGATAACTCCAAGAAAACAAACTACTGAAGGACAATCTACTGAAGGACAATCTACTGCAGGACAATCTACTGAAGGACAATCTACTGCAGGACAAAAATTGCAGGACGAAATACTTAGGACAAACTACTGAAGGGCAAGCTACTGAAGAATAAACTACTGAAGGGCAAACTACTGAAGAATAAACTACTGAAGGGCAAACTACTGAAGAATAAACTACTGAAGGGCAAACTACTGAAGAATAAACTACTGAAGGGCAAGCTACTGAAGGGCCAACTACTGAAGGGCAAGCTACTGAAGGACAAACTTCTGAAAAACAAACAATTGCAGTGCAACTACAGAAGAAAAATAACTTAGGGACAAACTACTGAAGGACAAACTTCTAAAGGACAAACTACTGAAGGACAAACTGATAAAGTGCAAGCTATCGAAGAGCAAACTAATGAATGAAAACAATTAAAGGATAAACTGCTAAAGGAAAAACTAATGGAAGACAAACATCTAAATGGGCAAGCTAATGCAGAACAAACTATTGAAGAACAAACTTCTGAAGGGCAAGCTACTGAAGGACCAACTACTGAAGGAAAAACTACTAAAAGACAAACTAATGAAGAAAAAACTATTGAAGGGCACACCGGAAGAAAAGCGATTTAGGGACAAACTATTGAAGGATAAACTACTTAAGGACAAACTACTGAAGGACAAACTACTGAAGGACAAACTACTAAAGGACAAACTACTGAAGAAAAAACTATTGAAAGCCAAATACTGAAGAAAAACGACTTAGGGACAAACTACTGAAGGAAAAACTACTTAGGAACAAACTATTGAAGGGCAACTACTGAAGAAAAACAAGGGACAAACTGCTGAAGGGCAAGCGATCGAAGAACAAACTAATGAAGGACAAACAATTGAACGACAACCTACTAAAGGAAAAACTTCTGAAGGGCAAACTAATGAAGGACAAGCAATTGAAGGACAAACTGCTGGAGAACAACTACTGAAGGACAAACTACTAAAGGATAAACTACTAAATATCAAACTACTGAAGGGCAAGCTTCTGAAGCACAAACTACTGAAAGACAATGAAGGACAAACTATTAAAGGGTAAAATACTGAAGGACGACAAACTTTCGAATTCCGAAAATAGCTTTTCAATAAGAGAAATACTTTTAAGAATGTCGGAAACAAACAAGACGTCAAATAATATTATTATAAAGACATATATGAGTGCTGACAAATTGTATTATGTAGTACAATATTATATGTTATTATAATATATTTTTTTATTATGTGAGTATTATATATATAAATAAATTTATTGATGATATTGCAATTATTATAATTACTATGATTATTAGAAATATTACTATAAAACTTTATTTCAGTTGTTTGGCGGTCAATTTAATTTTCCTGAGGGGAGACCTACTTCTAACTTTGACTCAATCACGAGTGCCTTACTCACGGTGTTCCAGGTTAGTTTACTCACAGTGTTCCAAGTTAATTTACTCCCTGTGTTCCAAGTTAGTTTACTTACAGTGTTCCAAGTTAGTTTACTCACAGTGTTCTAGGTTAGTTTACTTATAGTGTTCCAGGTTAGTTTACTCTCACTGTTCCAGGTAAGTTTACTCACAGTGTTCCAGGTTAGTTTACTCACAGTGTTCCAGGTTAGTTTACTGACAGTGTTCCAAGGAAGTTTACTCGCAGTATATATAAAAGTTGTAATCTCAGTTTGTCTGTTTGTTTACTTGGATGTCCGATCATGACTCATCGATTTGCCATAAATTTTGATTGGTGAACTCGGGAGAACCCCGGGAATGTTCTTAGTCTTGTTTTAATATTCCAAGTTGAGTGGATTGACTTTAAAAGCAAAAATTTAGTTTCCCGTTAAAATCGACGGAAGTAACTATGAGTAACCTGGGCAACGATGAGTTCCCAAGCTAGTATATAATAATATGTATGCACTGAACCCTTTATATTCTAGACCAGAGGATATTTTTAGATCATTTAAAGCTGAAGATTTTCATTTCTTTAAAATATCTGAAGGGGCTTAACCACCTCCCACCCCCTTCCCTTCCTTCCAGAAAGTGTGCTAACGATGGCACTATGGTGTAAGAACCTACTACTGGTAGATTCCAATTTGTAAACTTTATTTTAAACTTGAAACATACAAACAGAACAAATAAACTGTAGAACATTATAGAAAGGGAAACCTTGGAAACAAAACTAAAAGTGGGAGAGAGGGAGATTGAGGGTTGGAAGGGGAAGAAAGGGTAGAAGGGTATCTATCCTTCAATTCTCTATCGCTCTATCTAGGCAAGGAATGTTAATTGCTGTTGTGTATTTTCTGCGTACATATGAAGACCAGTTCTCTCTGGGCGGTGCTGGTAAACAAGAATAGATGCATCGTTGTTCCTTTAGTATCCGGGAAGGATAAAAGCATTTATAATTTAAAAAATTTTGATAATTCACATAATAGTTTCCTGTGACCAGAATATTTCATTGATATTTTAAGTGAATGATGGTTCCCATGTCAGGCTGTGACATCCGTCTTTACTGCCCAGAGACAGTACACTGCACTAATAAAAATGTGTACCCCTCTGAAAGTTCTTTGTATCTAGCTATCTACCTATTAATAAATCTATCTAACTATCTATCTATCCATCCATGTTTAGATATTAACTGGTGAGGACTGGAATGTTGTGATGTACACCGCAATTAACTCTAAGGTTAAAAAATTCTAGAATCAAATTATTCGAGTTTTTTTTCTAAATCTTAATGATTTAATACAACTGCACTGTCGTCTATAAACCTACTTAAAGTTTGAAAAACTACTCTAAAAATTTGAATGCACGATTTAGACTTATTAAAAGCATTTGAGAAAATAACATTATGATACAATTTTTATCGATTTTTTATTTTAATCAAAATCAAAAATTTTTAGCGGAAACTAAAATTTCTATACAATTTGACCCATTAAACTATGGAAGAAGAAGACGACATCTACGCAACCTCGTGTATATTTGATATGTAGTATAGTAGCTTGACAATCAAATTATCAAGTAAACTGTGTGTGTGTACTGCGCAGTTGCTTATTTCGTGGTGTTCAATAAACTCTTCAAAATCATAACAATCGTCTTCTTTCCCACAGCTTTATGGGTCTCAATGTATCTGTTTGAATTTAGGGCGGGAAGGTGAATGGTGGTATAATCTACTGCATGTATTTTGTTATGCTCACATTGTGCGGAGATTATACATTACTCAATGTCTTCTTGGCTATCGCTTGTGATTCATTGGACCAAGCCGCAGCGCTGACTGAGGTAAAATTGGAAAGATCTGATTGGAATGAGTTTGCTTTTTATCCTGTTTCAATCCTTTCTGAACATTTATGCTTTTTATACTTTATTGAAGCATTATTTTAATTTATTTTCAATCCTGCTTTTATTGTGTGTTTTTTACACATTTGTTATATTTTTTAAGTTCACTTTCATAATCGGAAAAAAATTAAAAATGCATATTTTTTAACAATCAAAGTTTGCTGACCTAAAAAGATGCTCCGTAAGAACTTAAGATGTTAAATATATATTTCAAATTGTATTCACTACTTTTATAAAATTCAGCAACATTTTCTCTCCTACTGAATATATTAATTGATACAGTTTAGCAAACGATTTTTAAACCGATTTTAAACCAATCTTTTTATTTGTTGTTTCGGCCTTTTATCTTCTGTCTAATTTAAAATTTATACAATTTAATAAAAGAAAAATAAAAGTACCCACAATTTTGAAAATAAAGAATATATCGTATTTTGACTTGAACCAAAAACGTTTCCCATCTTTAAAGCTTGATATTGTATAAAAATAAATTTTGATATAATAAACATGTTTCGATAAAGAATCTTTAGGGACCTACTTTTTTGTTATCACATAATCTGGGATATTTTGGTCATAATTTATTAACTTTTTTTTGTCAATTAAAAAATTAACGATCATTTTAATTCATTATTTTATTAGGATTTAGGTTGATCTATCAAAGTGATCAAGTTGCTGATAACAATATTTATTAAACTGTGTTTTACTTCATCTCCCCCCCCCCTCCCTCTTCTACTTTAAAGGCCTGTTAAGAAGTTGAACGTTAGTTTATAACCAACTGCTTTAAAACTAGAAATTCAAGGGTTCCCTTTTCCTCTTTAGAGGGAAAAATAACTAAAACCAATTTTTTAAATTCTTATCTTTAAAATTTTTCTTTTCCACTTTTTCTTTATCTATTTAATTGATTTTTTGAATCCCTCTGTAAACCTTTTTCTTTTAATATCTTCACAGATTAATCCTCTAGTGTTTTGAATATATAAAATATCTCCAAGAGCACCAATATTTTGGCATGTATATCTATTCGATGAACTTTTTAAACTCTGGTTTTTTATTTAGTGTGAAAAGGTAAGATATGTTTGTACTCCATTCTTTAATAAAATTTGCATTTGGCGGATTTTTGATTTGAGAAAAATAAATCATATTTTAAAGGAATTTTTTATACCTATTTAGGCAACTTTTGAAAAAGTTTAAAATGTAAATTTAAAAAGCTTGCTGACCAGGCAATATAAAAATACAGAATTATTATTAACAAAAGCCTTTAATTCTTACATTGGAAAAATTTTCTGAGTTGCCAAATTTAGAGTAAAATATTGAACAGATACATTGTCTTCTAATAATTATGATAATTTGAGAAATTGTCTTTTGATAAAAATATTAAAAATTTGTATCACATTTATCTAATCTAACCTCTATAAGTAGATGTAGTGTTTAATATTTTCTCATCAAGAAATTGTCATGTTTTGTGGAGACCGCTGTATCTAAAATAAAAAATAAACAAATGCAAAGTTTAGAAAAGGAATGAAAAATATTTGTGATGTCTACAACACAATTAGCTTCCAATGGGGCAAACAAGTTCCCAAAAATCCAATTTGCCTCATTGTCGGCTAATATATCAAGATAAAATCAAGATAAAGACAACTTTCTTGAGATCCCCGCCAGCAAAGTAAATGATCTCCCGTGTACAATAGAAGAGTTCATGATATTCTGTGTACTACAGTCTAGTAAACGATCTTCAATATAATATTGTATAAGTACATGATCATCTCTGTACAAAAGTGGAGTATATGATCTTCTCTATACTACAGTAGAGTTCACAATCTTCTCTTTACTACAGTAGAGTACACAATCTTCTCTTTACTAAAGTGGAGTACATGATCTTTTCTATACTACAGTAGAGTACATGATATTTACTATACTACAGCAGAGTACATGAGCTTCTCTATACTACAGTAGAGTACATGATCTTTTCTATACTATAGCAGAGTACATGATCTTCTCTATGCTATATATTTGAGTACATGATCTTCTCTATATTAAAGTAGAATACATGATCTTTTCTATACTATAGTAGAGTACATGAGATTCCCTGTACTTAAGAAGACCAAAGTGTTTTTTATTCAAACAGTCAGAAATTTAAGAAGGTATCACTAAACGAAACCAAGTTTAATGTCGGATCAATTTGTGTATATTTTTTTTAAGATAAGGGAAAACATGTTGTATATAAAAAGAAATATGTCTCAAAAAGATATATTTATGCTGATAAATGATAGTATATGTGTACATATTTATATACATGTATTTCCTCTAGGTTTCGACGATTTGTACGGTCTTAAGTTTCTGACTCTGAGGGCATTCTTGAGGGTGATTTTGAGGATTTTTACACGAATGACGTTATGTAATCAGTGAATATCCAACATACACTTTTAAAAATCCTAATCACCGTTCTTTGATTCCCTCAGTTTTACATATAATGCAAGGACGTTGTACAAATATTAATGCTATAAATGATTTGCTGTTTATATTTTCCGAGATATACAGGGGTTTCCAAAATTGTGTGGAAAGCAACGATAATGTTCAACAAACGAAAACTTCAATAATTCTATTAAAATGGGAAACAACTTATAGTTCTTACAAAATATCAAAAAAAAATAATTGACTTTGGACTTTTTTGTTTTAGTTTTCCACTTTATTTTGGGTGTATCTGTAAACTAAATCCCCCCCTCCCCTCCCTCTCCTTGTCAATGTAGAAACACTAGAAGAAGTGGGAAAACTTGTTAACGAGTTGAGAACTTAAAAACTTGTCCACAGAACAAACACAGACGTTGCAGTACACTGAGAATACCGTCCACAGAACAAACACAGACGTTGCAGTACACTGAGAATACCGTCCACAGAACAAACACAGACGTTGCAGTACACTGAGAATACCGAGAAACTTTGTTATCCAAACTTTAAAATTTTAGAGTTTTTTAAATAAAACTATATAGATTTTATTCTAATTAGAAATAATTAGTTTAATGTTTCCGTCATAAAGATACATTTGGTAAAGAGCTTTTTTACCACTTTTTTGTTTTATTTTGGGCAATATTATATTTATCACGTGCAATTGTAATGAAAGGAATAAAGTGACTTTTATCTTTTTGAAGTTTGTTAACGCCAATGTTTGCATTTTTATTCTTACAAAAAAACTAATTCTGTGAATTGCTTCGTCTGTGAACATATTCTCTCTATGATTTGGAATTTCTGCACTTATATGTCGTGTCCCTATACAATACACAAGTAAAATAAGATTATTGTCATTATAGTAAATTTTCATATTAATAATAATTGCAAAATTAATTTTTCACCAAACACTAGATGCCATAATTTATGTTGTTTTATGTTGTAGAAGCATCAGATTTGAAGAAAATTCTTCATTTTTGAGACATTGTTCAACTTTTTTGATGTAAACTTTTTGAACACACCCCTTTAGTCACTATATAGTGTTTAGTCCCCTTTTTCGTATTTAATTTAGGCAAATAGTTTCTATATGCTTACTGAAAGGGATCGGTCATGATTTTTTAATTGGGAATAATTAATTTTCTTGAAATCCTTTGGAAAAATTGTGACCTGTCCCTTCAAGAAAAATCGGGAAAATGAATCGCCACAAAAAAGTACCTGGACAAAATCCATTAAAAATCTGAACCAACTCTACCTAGTTTAAAGCTTTACGCAAGCAAGGCAACACAAAAGTTGACCGAAACTTAAATTTTAAAACTTCTTGCTTTAAAACAGAAAATCTTCCAAAAATCGCTCTCCCTTTTATCTATCTATCTGCGCCCTGTTTCTAATGCAGTATCTATTTATCTGCAGGCGGAGGAGGCGGAGAAGGAACGGCAGGCACAGGAGATGGAGAAGCAGAAGGAAAGAGAGGCGCTTGCCCTGGCCATCTTGAACGGTACAGCGGACAAGCTAGAGCTGGAGAAGAGGGAGAGAGAGGAAAATGAGTGAGTATTTTCTTATTTAATTTCTTTTTAAAGAGACTGTTAACGGATTCAAAGCAACTCTGTACATAATGAGTGGGATTACAGGCACTGTAGATTTAATTTTATTTAACTTACCATATATATGGAAATATGTCTAATTCACAGCTTTAAAACTTGCACACTCTCAGCACACAGCTGTATTATGACGTCACAAGAGTCAACTTAGTTTTTGTGTCCGACAAGGTTATTAATAATAGTGATAATTTTAGAATAAAGTGCTTATTTTACAGTAAAATACCTGCATTTTTATGTGTTCTTTATTTTCTGTTTTACACTTTTTTGATGTAAAAACCATGTCAGTAATGTGAGATGATTTTGTTTTCCTTGTTATATTTGACTCTTGTGACGTCGTGTATAATTGGTCCATTTCTCTGTTGCCACCTATGGAATTTACATACTTTATTTCATCACATGATTCCCGAAGATAAATTTTTCGGCTGAAAAATACGAAAATCTCCGATGTCAATTCTTAGACAAAAGATAAAATGGAGAGACACTTGAAATTCCGTCTATAGTCCCCTTCAGGATTCACACCACTCACATCCAAGCATCGACGAATAAGATTAATAAATTGTATGACGTGGAAAAAAATAGATACACGTACACTGTACAGAACCAGAAAAGTGAAAAAGGCCATAAAGTTAAAAAAAAAATTGTAATGAATAAATAATGATAGAAAATATGGATAAAATTATAAATGAATTAAATAATCCTGGAAAAACAATTAAAAAAGAATTAACGAATTATAAAACGCAAAACAAATGAAAACTTTTGAATATAATTAAGATCCCTGGAGGGCCATGAAAATAATAGCAATGAATGGAATAAAGCCGTAATAAATATAAAATAATTCAGGGGAAAACAATATAAATGAATGGAATAAAGCCGTAATAAATATAAAATAATTCAGGGGAAAAAATGTAAATGAATGGAATAAAGCCGTAATAAATATAAAATAATTCAGAGGAAAACAATAGCAATGAATTGAATAAAGCCGTAATAAATAAAAAATAATTCAGGGGAAAACAATATAAATGAATGGAATAAAGCCGTAATAAATATAAAATAATTCAGGGGAAAACAATATAAATTAATGGAATAAAGCCGTAATAAATATAAAATAATTCAGGGGAAAACAATATAAATGAATGGAATAAAGCCGTAATAAATATTAAATTAATTCAGGGGAAAACAATATAAATGAATGGAATAAAGCAGTAAAGAATATAAATGAACTGATTGGAAAAGAATACAGATGAATGGAATATACTACGGGAAAGAACATACATGAATGGAATGAAGCAGAGAATATAAATGAATGGAATAGCGCAGGAAAGAATAGAGATTAAGTGAATGCCACAAATAGAAAGAAATGGAATAACGAGGAAAAGAATATAAATTTATGGAATAACGCGGTAAAGAAAATAAACAAATGCAATAACGCGGGAAATAATATAAAATGGATGGATAAACGCGGGAAAGAACAGAAACGTATGGAATACCACGGGAAAGAATGAAAATGAAAAGAATAGCAGGGGAAAGATTATAAATGAGGAATACCAGGGGAAGGTATAGAAATGAAAGGAATAATGAGGGATAAAATAGAAATGAATGAAACGCCAAAGAAGAATAAAATAAACAGAATAGACATTAATTGAATAATGCAGGAAAGAATAGAAATGAATGGAATACCATGGAAAGTAATATGAGGAATACTACGGGAAATGATATAAATGAATGGAATACCACGGGAAAGAATATAAATGAATGGAATACCACGGGAAAGAACATGAATTAATAGAATACCACAGGAAAGAATATAAATGCACGGAATACCACGCGAAGGAATATAAATGAATGGAATACCAAGGCAAAGAATATAAATGAATGAAATACCACGGGAAAGAATATAAATGAATGGAATACCACGAGAAAGAATATAAATGAACGGAATACCACAGGAAAGAATGAAATTAATGGAATACCACGGGAAAGAATATAAATGAGTGGGATACCACCAGAAAGAATATAAATGAATGGAATTACATGGGGAATAATAAAAATGAATGGAAAGAATGCAGATGAAGATGTGTTGGAGTGAAGTAGAACTAAACAATGAGATTCATTAAAGAAAGAAGGAAAGCAATTATTTCTTCTGTTTTATAAAGCACACTTCTATAAATTTTCTAATCTTAAACATCCGAATACAGCACACTAGAGTATTATGTTTTTAATCCAGAATAAAACACTTTTTTTACATTCGAATTCCATAATGTATTTGATTCCGTTATAATTGAGAGAAAATATGGTTTTCTTCAATTGGCCTTCCTGTATCAGAATTTAATGAATTTGAGCCGTGTCTCAAATCAGCCAAAGCCTGTTTTCAATTGAGCGCCGGCTTAAATCTTGAAACATTGAATACAATTTTAAGTGGAACCAACCATATTTGAGCCGCGACTCAAATTTAAGCCGCCGCTCAAATTCTTTAAATTCAGCCTCTGGTTTAACAGGCAGTTATATGTTAAGCTTGAATTTATAGAGATTCTAAAATTAAGTACAATACTTTCAATAACCATTAAGATTTAAGAATTCATATTAAGAATAGTTTAAGATGAGTTTGGGATAGTTAAGATGCACAGGTGTAGGACACATGGAAGGCAATTAGTAGAAATGTTAATGATTTATATAATAAAGCTGTTCGCTTATATAACTGTATGTCAACTATAGCTGGCCAAACGGCTGGACCAAATTGGTTAAAAAATTTAGATGGAATC